CCTCGGCCTTCTAAGGCACAACTTTCCCTCCGCTGCACCCCAGGACCTGGCGACCCCCTTACCCGGCAGCGACCAAGTCTGAACTACAACTCCCAGCATGCCGCGCGGTCCTTCTACTCCGGCACGCGAGGTGCCTACAGCGAGAGTCTGGACTACAACTCCCAGCATGCCGTGGTGCCCCCCCCCCCCCTTTGGCCCCGGTCAGTGGCAACGGGAATCTGGGAGATCCTAGGCGCTGACCCCGCCAGGCTCCGCGGACTGACCCGGGCTGCGCCCAGTGACGAGGGGCCCGTGGGTTGCGGGAAGGCGGGCGGGGGGGTCCGGCGCCCGTGGTGGACCTGCGGAGCCACCCGGTGACCACGCTCCGGCCGGACGGGAGGCACCCTGAGGTGGAAGCATCGTGTGGGACGGGATGGCTGTGAAAGGCCCCCACCGTCCCCGGTGAGCTCGGCAGAGGCCGGGACGGGGTCGTCACCGCGACCCCAGTGCGCTGTCCGCGGTGTTGGCGGGAGGCCTGGGGCGGACAGGGTGGCGGCCGGCTGCAGGCGGGGCCTTGCACCCTGGTCTTTGCAGCTCAGTGGGGCCCATCATCCGCGGGCGTGGTGGAAATTCAGATTCTCAGGCCCAACCGGACCTGCTGAGCCAGAGTCTGCACGCTAGCAGCGTCCCAGGTGATCCTGCACATGGGGGTGTCCTCACCCTCCCGTGAGTGGGCGTTATCCCATTTGGCGAGGACGGCTCGGAGACGCTGAGTGGCAAAGTAGGATTTGAACCCAGGTCTTCTCACTCTGAAACTATAGCCCTCGTCCTGTACCTGCCGCCTCTCCCCATGAAGACTAACATGGCAGAGGGTCCTGCAGGCTGCACCCGAGGAAAGGGCTCTCACCACCTCAGCTGCTGCCGGGTGTGTACACCCCCAGCTGTGCCAGCAACAAGCCCCAGGGCCTGCCTGTGGGGTCAGGTGGTGCTGGGGCTGATCACCACCCAGCCTACACCCACTGCTGCCTGGAGCCTCAAAGGTGCTGAGCCCACTGCTCAGCAGGCGCCTGTGCATAAGCAGCGGCTGCCAGCCGCCAGCCGCCGTGGGGAGCCGGGCGCCGCGTCCACAGTGCCTTGGGAACTGGGGCGGGCGAGGGGGGGGGGGGGCGCCGGACAGCGGGGAGGAAATGCTGGCTCACCGGGCGGGAAACTGCAGAAGCAGAAGCAGCAGCAGAGTGGAGAGAAAGGAGTTCAGGATACGGTGGGGAATGTGGCTGGACAGGGAGGGGGTAGGAGGGCCAGGGGCACCCTGTCCCTAAGGGCACAGCAGAGGCCAGTCCCACCAGCTGTGAGTGCTATGCTAAGGGATTCAGACTTGATGCCACGGGAGAGCAGCCAGTGAGCTCAAGGCAGGAGCCAGGAGCCCTGGCCCCAGCCCCCCAGCCCCTTCTTCCGCGGCTCCAGCCCTGGTTCTGGGAGAGGAAGTCAGCAGAGAAACCGCAGGGCCCCACCTGAGGGGCTGATGGGAAAGGAAGTGAGACAGGTGTGAGGTCTGGGTGGGTCAGGGGGTTCAAACCACAAAGTTTCGATGTGGGGGCATGGCCCAGGAGGAGGTGGGAAGCAGGGGGCAGATGAGGGGCCCCCAGACCCGGATACTTGGTCACTGAGACCACAGGCTAAGCTGGCACACCGGGCCCCAGCCCAGCTCGGCACTCAGTGCAGTCCCAGGCTGTCCTGGTCTGGACCCCGGGGCTCAGGGTTGTGACCCCAGGGGAGCACTCAGCAGAGTGGCTCTGCCATTGCTGGTGGTGCCTCCTGGCCTCCCCACCCCCATTCCCTCCCTCCAAGCTGCAGGAAAGGCGGCCAGCGGCTGGGGCGAGCAGACTTCCATGGAGCCCACCACCCGTGGCCAGCCCAGTCAGTGCCTTCTGACCTCTCCGGTGTGCCAGTGCTGGCTCCTGCTGGGCCCAGCTGAGGCCTGTGCAGCTGCTGGTCCCCCGGAGCAGGTGGGCCTCAGACATAGGGTGCAAGCTATGCAAGGCCCGGCGACCCACAGAGGGCCGTCCTGGGCCGCTCCCCGCGCGGGACAGTGCGGCGTCTCGAAGGGGCGCTGTGCCGTTGGCATAAGGCACTGAGAGTCCACGGGCTGGAGCTCGGCCTGGCCGCTGGGTGGGGCAGAGGGTCCCGTTGGACTGTGCCAGCACCTCCCGACCTGTGTCCCTCGGGCCGGAGGATGACCTCCACATCGGCGAGCTGCCGGGGGCCAGCGCAGGGCGCTCAGCGCTGCCCTGGGAACCAGCCTCCCAGGCACTGGGCTCTCCGGGGAGCGAGAACCCTTCCCAGGTTGACCACACGGAGGCAGCAGAGGCTCAGGCCAGCTGCTCAGAGCTGGGCGCCTGCTGCACCCTAGTGGGCACAGAGCCTGGGTGCACAGCAGCACTCTGGGGAAGGGGGTGTCTGCCCGCGTCCACAGCACCGACAGGCTCCACAGCCTGGAGCAGGGAGGAGTGTAAGGACCTGACTGTCCCTGCCCCGCCCACACACACCCCTGCGGCCGGTGGCACACATTTCCACCCCCTCCTGACCTGCCCCCGTCCTGGCCGAGCTGCAGAGGATGGTCAGTCACAGGGGCCATGGGAGCTCCTGTGCCTGGAGAACACAGCGGGGGCCGGGGGAGGCCCACTGTCCCTATGGACTGCCAGGTGGGCCCTGCCCCGGGATTGGGGCCCCTCCCATATGGACGTGGGTGCCCCAAGAGTGGGGGGCGGGGCCGACTGGAACGTGGGAGCCATTTGCTCCTACGTGCCCTGCTCAGGGGTATGAAACCTGTGGGTCACTGGCTGGCGGCCAGCTGCTCCCGCTGCTGGGCCTGGTCTGGGCACTGGGCCACCTGCAGGCCCAGAGGCGGTCCCTCGCCACTGCCGCCTGGGCGAGCCCACAGGAGCCGAGACCTGCCCCAAGGCCTGACAGCGGGACACTCCCCGGGTCCCCCCACCCCCAGAATGAGCTTGTGTGTCTGCAGATGTGTCCGGATGGATGGACGCACAAACGGGCACACGCACACTCACGCACACAGCTGTGACGCTGCTGCGGCCCTTGCACTGCTGTGAGCCACAGGTGCTTGTTATCTGGTCTGAAAACTTGTTTTTTAGGTGAAGCCTCACCTGAGGATACCTTTCCATTGATTTTTAGAGAGAGGGGGAGGGAGGGAGGGGAAGGCAGAGAAACATGGATGTGAGACACATCAATTGGTGCCTCCCCCACACTCCCTGATCAGGACCGGGAAGCAAGCCTGCAACGAGGTACATGCCGTTGACCGAACTCGAACCCAGGACCCTGTAGTCTGAAGGCCAACGTTCTAACCACTGAGCAACCACCAGGACCTGGAAACTTGAGAAAAGGCAATTGCGCACTAGCACAAGCTGGTGTATCCAGGACGGAGCCCCTCAGCCCCCCAGGATGGCCCAGCCCCTGTGCCTGGAGCTTCCTGTAACCTCTAAACTCTAAAGCAACACGGAAGACCGGAGGGGGGGGGGGGGGAGGCCGCCGCCCCCAGCCCACACCCGCTTCAGGAAGGCTCTGAGCCGGGGCAGCCGGGGCAGCCGGGGCTTCACGTACCGCAGTCCCTCCATCACCCCGGCTTCTCCACCTCCAGGAAAATGAGCGTCTGTCCTCACACCACACCGCCTGGTGCAGGCTGGCCGCCCTCCTCCCGACTGGCCCTCCAGAGGCCCCTTCTGCGCCTGGGCCCGGGAATCTGCGCCCACAGCCTCCTCACACCTGCAGCCCAGCCGGCCTGGCTCCGCCACCCGGCGGCCCCCCCACCCCCATGCTGAGCACCCCCTCCCCTCCCCCCACCACTTCCACACCTGCCTGTGCGGCACCCACTGGCCCTTGGCCATTGCAGACGCCCCAGCGAGCTCCCGAGGGCCTCAGGGGCAGCAGCCACCAGGACAGGACTGGCCTGAAAACCAGGAGCTGGCGTGCACCTCACCAGCCGCCACCTGCACCACAGACCCAGGCCCTCGACCCTCCCGCCCCACAAGGCTGGGGGCCCTCGAGTCCCGCCAGCAGCGAGGGCCTCTGGCGCTGCCGATTGCTCTGCGGTGAGCCAGCCTCAGTCTCCCCTTCTGTACAATGGGTGGCTGGTATTGCTAGGGCGACCGGAGGATGGGATGGGCACATAAACACAGGGTATGTAACAGCTGTGCCTGCCTCCCCCACAGGCAGCTTCTCCACCGGCACTGGTGCCACCAGGACGGATGGCAGGGGGTGGCTGAACGCCCTCCCCACTCCACCCTCCCTCGGCACCTGCTTCCTCCTTGGGACTCCCAGTCTGTGCGGAGGCCCAGCAAAAGCAGCCTCATTCCTGTCCCCATTCCCCACCTGCCCGCCCCAGGCCCCACCAGGACCCCAGCCACGCCTGCAGAACAGGGCGCCCGACCCCAGGCCCTGCCTGCGAGGCTGGGACTCAGATGACGAGGGCTGCCGGCTGAGGCTCGGGCGGCTGCCAGCAGCACACTCCCAGGCTGGGACCGGAAGAGGGTGCGTGACGTGGACTGCTCCCCCCACCCGTGCATGCACACATACGGCTCACCTGCACACACATGTGCTCACACACGCATACACACAGGCACGTCTGTCTGGTGGATGAAGAGCTGGGTCCTTCCTCCCCAGGTGCATGGAGGAGCCATCTCTCCCTCCCTCATTCACACCCGAGGGTGCGGGCGAGAGCCCAGCTGTCTGTCCTCACGGTGGGGCCAAAGGAAGTCACAGAATGATGGCCGGGTGGAGACGGAACACACTCACAGCCAGAGGCCTTGTCGCAGGGAGTACAGAGCACTAGGACACAGAAAAGCGTCCCCTAAGCTTAGGTTGTGCAAAAACACGTGAATTGGGTCCTCAGTCCACTCCTCCAGCAAAGACCGCGACGGGCTCACACACATCTCAGGGCCCACGACAGCACCCCTCCCACCCGGCGCCTCCAGGACCCACGGGGCCATGACGGCCAAAGAGCCAGCGCCACTGTGCCGGCCAGCGCGCAGGCTAAGTCCTCCTCAGGGCCGTGCCCTCCACGCCCAGCCTCTGCCACGCCCAGGGCCCTGGGTCCGAGCCTGGAGGGCCGTCCTCCGGAGCGGCGGGCGTCACTCCGCGGCGGCCAGCTGCTCAATGGCGGCGCGGACTTTCTTTGCGATTTCTTCAAATTCTTTCTGCTTATTGTTGGCTTCCTTTGCCTGGAAATAAAGAACAGACGCATGAGAGCGAAACAGCAGCTCCCAAACCACACCCTTGGCGAAGGCCCATGAGACTGGGGTGCGAGCAGCACCGGCTCCAGCTTCCCGGTGAGCCTGGCAGAGCCCACCCCCTGCCCGCCCACTACCCTGGCTGCACCGGGCGCTCCCACCCGCCGCCCAGAGCGGCCTCTGGGCCAGGTGAGGGACCATCAAACACTAGCACCTCCGCCCCTGCCGCCCAGGGCCGGCTTCCAACCTTCCTTCCCTCCCTCAGTTCCGCTCAGTGTGACAGCCACGACAGCCACGTTAGCAACCCGGGCCACCTGCCCCACCTCAATTTTCTTTTTTTTACAATATTTCAGAGAGGAAGGGAGACGGAGAGAGAGAAACATCAACGATGAGAAAGAATCCGATCGGCTGCCTCCTGCACGCCACCCTCCCACTAGGGATCGAGCCCACAACCCAGGCACGTGCCCCTGACCAGAATCGAACCCGGACCTTCAGTCCGCAGGCCGACACTCTATCCACTGAGCCAAACTGGCTAGGGCTACCCTACCTTGATTTTTATTCTCCTTGATTTGTCACATTAAAAGAACAAAAACTCTATTGGGTCAAATGTTTTCTAATAAGAAAAACAATAAAGGCTAACATTTAAAAATTACTTTCAATATATATATATTTTTTTTAAATGAAATTTAGCAGAAACCGGTTTAGCTCAATGGAGAGCATCCGCTTGCGGACTGAAAGGTCCCGGGTTCGGTTCCGGTCAAGGGCATGTACCTTGGCTGCAGGCACATCCCCAGTGGGGGTTGTGCAGGAGGTAGCTGATCGATGTTTCTCTCATCAAATGTTTCTAGCTTTCTATACCTCTCTCTTCCTCTCTGTAAAAACTCAATAAAATATATTTTAAAATAATAATAATAATAAATTAAAAGAAGCCATGTATCCATAATAATAATAAAAAAGAAATTTAGAGAGGAGGGTGGGGGGGGAAGAAACACATCAATTGGCTGCCTCCTGAACTCACTCCACCTGTGATCAAACCCGAAACGGGAGCACGGGCTCTGACCGAGAACTGAACTGCTCATCTGCTGCTGCCCAGCTCACCAGCCGCCCAGCCAGGCTGCTAGTTGTGTGTCTAAGTGTTGTCCAAGTGGCTCACTTACTTTACAATTAAAAGAAAATTTAATGTCGCCCTGGCCTGTGTGTCTCAGTTGGTTGGAGTGTCATCTGTCCTTGTACCAAAGGTGCAGTGGGGGAACATACCCCGGTTTCGGGTTCAAACCCCGATCTGGGTGCATTCAGAATCACCCCATCCATGTTTCTCTCTCTCCCTCTCCCTTTTCTCTCTCTGAAATCAGTGAAAACACATCCTTGGGTAAAGATTTAAAAATAGTAATAATAACCATTTTTTTAAAAGAAAATTTAGTTTGAAAAACAATACACTGACAACAGGAGCGAACGGCCAGCGGCGAGCGGGTAAGGGGCCACCACGCCGAGCCTCAGACCCTCGGCACATGCTGCACCGTCAGAACCACCGCACGGGCCAGCACTCGGTTCACAAGGTCCCGCTCAAGGGCTGAGGGCGTCAGGAGCCCAGTGAAAAGCAGTCACCTGTGCGGCCCGCCCGGCCCCGGGGGCCTGGCCGAGGAACCGGCAGCTGCTCCGTGTGAGCCTGACTCCCCCTCCCCCCGGGCTTCTTTTCCCACGGCTCCAACGCCCTTCCCTTCCCCAAAAGGCGGAGCAGAGGCCCAAGCAGGGCCGTCATGGGCTGGCCTCGAAGTGACCTCCCGCCCTCCTCCCCCCTCACTCCCCCGCACAGCACCAGGACACCCCGTCGCCAGCATAGCTGCAGCCCAGCACGTCCGCCATCAGGCCTGCCCCGCTGTGTGCTGCGCTCACATACCAGGCTTCACACCTGAGCCTGCGGGAGCCAGGCCCGGCTGGCCTCCGGTGCCCCCTGGCACAGCCGTCCCGGCACGCTCTGACGCCAGCCCGCACACCATCCACACGGGCACTGGGGCTGCCTCCTATCACTGCCAAGTGCGTGCCACACGCACAGCTGGCCGGACGCGGGAGCAGCCGGCGCAACTGAAGTTGTTCGAAGCCAAAACGGCCACTGTCTGCACCGTGAGCTCCGCGGCCTTGGCTGCCGGCGTGGCCGCGGCTGCGCGGAGCCACGGAGCCGGCTCTCACTCCCTGGCCGCTCCCCCAGCACAGCCCGACGACATCACCCTCAGGCCACCGCTTAGCTTCACTTCCCACCTCTTTACACGCGTCAGCTTTAACATGACCCGGAAGTACGTACCAGTGAGCAGTGGCCCCTCAGCAGCTCACACCATGTGACTGAACAGAAGTAACGCCTCTGCATCACTGAAAGCACTGGGTGTGATGACTCGGAGAACAAACACCCGTGGCCACATAAATGCCCCCACCCCGCCGGGGCAGACAGCGCCCCTGCCGGGCCTCCGCAGGCAGTGCTGACAGCTCCCGCACTGGCCCCGCCGGCCTTTCTCAGCTTGTCATAGGCTTCTGCCTCTCTGGCTACACCGTCCTCCCGTTTGCTCACGCACAGCTTTCTCTGCCGGTCCCCCAACGATAAACAAGGCTGGCCCGTCCCCTGGAGCCGCCGGCCACCTTCACTGCGGCCCCCCAGCCAGCCCTTCCTGCACAGCCATGGGGCTAAGACGGCCGTTACATTTGTGAACGTGAGAAAACGAGGACCACAGGGAGCACCATCTCACAGGCGGGGCGCCCGGGAGGATGTGCGGGCCGGCGGCTCAGGACAGCGGACACCCCGCAGCCGGCTCCCCACCAGGCTCAGGACAGCGGACACCCCGCAGCCGGCTCCCCCCACCAGGCTCAGGACGGCGGACACCCCGCAGCCGGCTCCCCACCAGGCTCAGGACGGTGGACACCCCGCAGCCGGCTCCCCACCAGGCTCAGGATCAGGACAGCGGACACCCCGCAGCCGGCTCCCCACCAGGCTCAGGACGGCGGACACCCCGCAGCCGGCTCCCCACCAGGCTCAGGACGGCGGACACCCTGCAGCCGGCTCCCCACCAGGCTCAGGACGGCGGACACCCCGCAGCCGGCTCCCCACCAGGCTCAGGACGGCGGACACCCCGCAGCCGGCTCCCCACCAGGCTCAGGACAGCGGACACCCCGCAGCCGGCTCCCCACCAGGCTCAGGCTCAGGATGGTGGACACCCCGCAGCCGGCTCTCGGCTCCCCCCCAGCGCACCTACCACTTTGTTCTTGGCTCTTTCCTTGTCCAGTTTCAAAAATTCCGCGAGGGTCAGCTCTTCAAACTGCTTCTTGACGGAAAGGAAGGCGCAGCCCGCCGAGTGCTTCCTGTGCTCCTCCCTGGGAAGGCGGCAGCGGAGCAGGCAGTGAGGTGAAGGGAGGCCGCTGTCACCACCGGCCCCCGCCGCCCCCCCTACCACCCACCCCCCCCCCCCCCCACCCCCCCCCCAGCCCCCCGCTCGCTGTGACTGCAGTCGCCCCAAGTAGACGAGTCAGGGCTGGGCCCTGGCCACATCCCCACCCGCTCAGCTCAGCGCCTTCTCTCTGTGGACCCCCCCCCCCGGCCCTCCCCTGGCGGGTTTCACTGGGGCCTCAGTTAGTAGGAAGTGCTTTCCGTGAGTCCAGAGCTATCACATGTCAGATCCCTCTGAAATCAAGATATTTTTTGTCTTGCTAATCCCCATCCAAGACTGCGACGGAGATGTGTGCCTTTGACAGGAATTGAACCTGTGACCCTCAGTCTGTGAGCTGACACCCTCTATCCACTGAGCCACACGGCTCCGGGCCTCAGGGATGGGAGCTGCTACAGAGCCTGCCGGTTTGGAACAAGGCCCGGCCAGGCCTCTCCGGGGAAGCGCCGGGCCTGCCACCATCAGTCCCAGAGGGGAGGCAGGCGTGCGGGTGCACAGCCCGAGCCAGACCCCGCCAATGCACACGCAGCCGCGGGAAGTCCGGGACAGCACAGGAACTGGGACCTGAAGATAGTTCTGAGACCCACCCCCAGTGACTCCCGGTGTCCCCACTGTGCCACCCAGTCCGCACTGGGTGACAATCCCAAACACGGTTCCTGGCAACAAGAGAAACAGCCGGATTCGGCCAGGGAAGGCGAGAACGCGGGCACGGCCCTGCAGGGGGCGCTGCAGTGGCCCTGGAACGCACAGTCCCGTCCCTTACGGAACAAACCCCCACAGGGGCCTGGGCCTCTTTCAAAGGGGGGCGTTGTGGTGTGTGAGCTGTAGCACAATAGGCTGGAGGTAAAAACTCTGAAACAAGCCCTGGATGGTGTGGCTCAGTGGATAGAGCGTTGGCCGGTGGATTGAAGGGCTCTGGGTTCGATTTCAGTCAAGGGCATCACTTGGTTCTCCCGCATCATTGCTGCTTCTCTCTCCCTCCCTTCCTCTCTAAAATCAATAAACACACATTTAAAAGGACACACAGGAGCTGCTCCCGGATTCTGTCCAACCTCAAGGGCCTTGGGCACGGGCAGGAGGGAGCCTCTTCCACAGGCACCGAGGGGCACTGGCCAAACCAGGCGGATGAGGCGGGAAGCGATACCAGGCACTGGCAACAGCGGCTCAGGCACAACGGGAGGCTGGAAGCCGGGGCTCCGCCCTGAGCGTCTTCCTGGGAAACGCAGGCCCCCGCTCCCCGCAGAGCCGAGGGGCGAGCGGGCGGCACTTACATGGGGTCGTCGTCGGGCTCCCAGCCCTCCAGCTCCTTGAAGCAGAAGAAGCACTGGGCCAGGTCGGGCTCGTTGTCGGTGGGGCAGTGGATGAAGCCGGCGGCCGCCATCTGCAAGGGAAGGCAGGCTCGGACCCGCGGCGCGTGCCCTCCGGGAGCCCAGAGCGGGGGCCCAGCCCCGCGGGAGGGGACACCCCGGGCCCCGGGAGCCCAGGGAGGGACCGCCCAGCCCCGGGGGAGGGGACACCCGGACCCCAGAAGCCAGGAGAGGGACCGCTCAGCCCCGCGGGAGGGGACACCCCAGGCCCCGGGAGCCCAGGGAGGGACCGCTCAGCCCCGCGGGAGGGGACACCCCGGGCCCCGGGAGCCCATGGAGGGACCGCCCAGCCCCGCGGGAGGGGACACCCCGGGCCCCGGGAGCCCAGGGAGGGCCCGCCCAGCCCCGGGGCCCAGGGAGGGGCCGGGCCCCGCGGGAGGGAGCGGCGGGCCCGGGCCGGAGGGGTGGGCCTGGGACCCCGGTGCCCCCCTCACCCGTTCCGGGGTGCAGGCGCAGCCCTCCAGGAAGGGCCAGTTCTTGAACGTGGAGATGCGGTGGTCCTTGAGGTAGAGCTGCCAGGCCTCGGGCAACGACGGGGCACCCATCTCACCGCCTCCCCCGGCCGCGCCGCGATTCAAATCAGGCGGTTGGCGGCCGCCGCAAGGCCTGTCGGGAAGCCCAGCTCGGGAGGGGCTTCTGGGAGTGCGCGGGGCATACTGGGAGTTGTAGTCTCTCCTCTGCGTGGCTCTAGCAACCTCGGTCCCGTGTTTACCGCTTCGCACGCTTGGCAGAGTGGAACGGAGTGGAGCTGAAGCCGGGCTGCAGTCTTCCTAATGGATTTAAGCCGTCTAATCCATCTGTACTAAGCCCTTTCGACCTGCAGACTCTGGTGGTTCTTGTGGGCACCCCACTCCTGGAGCCCCCAGTGCCAGCCCCCCCTACCCTGCAGCGGGCTGTGTTGGAATGTTTGCGGAGGCAGCGCATCCTCCAGGGAAAAGATGTCCCGGATGACATCCCCAGCTCCGCCTTCGCCCTCACTCAGTGAGCTATGAACTGCTCTTATCAAGTCTTTTCACTGATGGACCCTCGGAGCTGGGTTCCCGCCTTCCCATCAGAATTCCTCCAGAAAGAGACATCCCTCCAGGTCAATAGACTATGCTGGGCAAGAGGGGAGTTTGGCGGGGGGACTATGGACGGGCCCTCAGGTGGCTAATTCTGTACCGTCCTATCTAATAAAAGAGCAATATGCAAATCGCCCCTTCCACCCGGAGTTCCACCAGGGGCAGGGCCAGCTGGCCAACCGCCCTCGGCCCCTCCTCCTGGTCTTTCCCAGCCAATCCGCCCCAAGGTGAGCCCACTGGACCCCCACCGGGGCCTCTAGTTATAAATAACTTGGCAGGAAACACTTTGTTTTTTCTAGAAGCTGCTCTACTTGGGTATTTTTTTCCATCTTGTCTTCTAGCTCACTGATGCGGTCCTCTGCTTCTTCTAGTCTACTCTTGATGCTTTCTATTGAGTTCTTTACAGCAGCGGTGTCATTTTTCATTTCTTCTTGGTTCTTCATTTCCTCTTGATTCTTACTCATATTGTCAAATTTGAGTTCCATTCTTTTCAGCCACCTTATGACCATTTCTCTGAATTCTTGCTCCGATAGGTTGCTTGTCTCTCATTCGTTTAGTCTCCCCATGGTCTCTCTTCTCAGGATGTCTGGTAGTTCTCGCTCTCCTTTCCGTGTTGGGTGGAGAGCTCCTTTGAGTCCAAGTATTCGCGCCACCTGGGACCGGTGTTCTGGGGCTCACAGCTGCTTGGCGGTTGCCGCAGCTGTGGACATTCAGGCCTCTGACAAGATCCACTTTTCCTTTCAAGATGGTGAGATTTCCTTGTCCGAGCCCGTAGCTCCGGGAGGGGACCCAGCAGCCGCCGTGGGTGCTTCCCTGTCAGAGGAACCCCGCCAGCAGTCAGTCCCCCACCTTCTCCTGGAGTCCGGCTGTCCCTTGGCTTGCTAACAAACACTCCCAGTGGGCCCCTCAGCTGTTCTCTTTCTGCCGGCAGGAAACACTTTGTGAGAGTATCCTTGTATTCTGGCACCTTTTCTTCCAGGGGCTAGATTTCTAAAAGTGGATTTTTAGGACAAATGTGAATTTTAAAATTTTAATGCACTCTAACCATTGAGCACCACTGGCCAGAGCTGATCATTCTTGAACTGCAAGCTATTCAGAGTGGGGCAGAGAGGTGGTGGGGTGCAGTGGGTGGCAGCTGGACTCAGCTGGCTCCTGGGGGAATGCACACTCCCCTGGGGCGGAGGGGGGTGGGGGGCAGAGGAAGCTTGCCCACTGCCAGGTCACGGTCAAGGTGTTACCCCGAGGCTAGCATTCCAGGGTTTTCAGGGCAGACCCGTGTCAGGTGGAGCCAGGACAGAGTGGACCAAGGAGTGAAGCAAAGGCAGAAGCAGTGTGGGACACTCTTGCACAAGGGGCAGCGAACTTTCCCGAAAAGAGCTGGATGGTAATTATTTTATTTATTTGTTTTTTAAAATGTATTTTATTGGTGGTTTTTTTTTTTTTGTTTTTTTTTACAGAGAGGAAGGAAGATGGATAGACAGCTAGAAACATCGATGAGAGAAACATCAACCAGCTGCCTCCTGCACATCCCCTTCTGGGGATGTGCCCGTAATCAAGGTACATGTCTTTGACCTCAAACCTGGGACCTTCCAGTCTGCAGACCAATGCTCTAGCCACTGAGCCAAACCGGTTTCAGCTGGTAATTATTTTAGCTTTGGGGGCCATCCAGGCTCTGACAGCACCCAGCTCGGCCCTCGTGGCTCAAACACCGCCACAGACAATTCCTAAATGAATGAACGTAGCTGGGTGCCAATAAAACTTTATTCATGGCTACGAACATCTGAATTTCATATCATTTTTACATGTCACGAAAGAATGCTCTTTTATGATTTGTTTAAAAGGCTTGTGGGCAGCGAGCTGAAGCCCATATATGAAGATGGGCGCTGTCTTCTGTCTCTTTCTCAGCGGGCGGGGCTCAGACTTGGCGAGAGGCGTTGCCCTGGCTGGCCTGTCCCTGCAGCAGCTCCATTCCGACCCGGGGGTGGCCACAAAGACTCGGTTCCTGCTCAGAGCTGGGGGAGGACTGGGCTGGGGGTTGGGGCCCATCAGAACTCTGGGAAGATGGTTTTCAGGATAATCTGAGGCAGGAAGAGAAGCCATGGCCCTGGCATCGGAGAGGCCCAGAGGCTCTCGGGAGGAATGTGGTGAGGGGAGGGCTGCCGGGGAGCCGGGAGGAGCGCCTAGGCATGTTCCCCACCTCCCATCGTCCTAACGAGGCTCCCAGCCTCCAGCCGGCTCACTCCCAGGCCAACAAAGGCTTTTTTGTTATTTTTTAAATTTTATTTTATATTTTATTTTATTAATTAAATTAAATTTGATTAATTAATTTATTTTTTGGTACTGATTATAGAGAGAAAGGAAGAGGAAGAGGGAGAGATAGAAACATCAGTGATGAGAGAGAATCATGGATCAGCTGGCTTCTGCACGCCCCCTGCTGGGGATTGAGCCCACAACCCGGGCCTGTGCCCTTGACTGGGGATCGAACCTGTGACCTCCTCAGATGGACGCTCAACCACTGAGCAACCCCAGCTGGGTAGCTTTATGTTTTAAACCATTGAAAAAACCCAAAAACATTATTTTGGGATATGTAAAAATGACAAAATCCAAACTTAACAGGAGTCCCTTTGTAAAGTATATACTTGTCTGACCACTATGCTGTACACCTGGAACTAAAATAAAGTCCTACTGAATGCAACTCTAATTGGAAAATGAAATTAAGCCCAGCTGGTACGGCTCAGCGTTGAGCATTGACCTGTGAACTAGGACAGTGGTCGGCAAACTCGTCAGTCAGCAGAGCCAAATTTCAACAGTACAACGACTGAAATTTCTTTTGAGTGAGCCAAATTTTTTAAACTTAAACAATCTAGGTAAGTGCATTGTTATTAACTTAATTAGGGTCCTCCTAAGCTGGCCTTTGCTAAGAGCTCAAGGGACCAAAGAGCCTCATGTGGCTCACGAGCCACAGTTTGCCGACCACTGAACTAAGAGGTCAGGGTTGGATTCCGGTCAGGACACAGGCCTGGGCTGTAGGCTCAATGCCCAGTGGGGGGCGTGAGGAGGCAGCGGATCCATGACACTCCTTCATCACTGATGTTTCTGTCTCCCTCTCCCGGCCTCTCAGAAAGCAATGAAAACTTAAAAACATAAAAGAAGACTAAGTGGAGGAGGCAAGCCTGGCCCCCGATGCCTGTCGCCAGGCCTCCAAACACGCAGCCCCCGCCCCCGCAGGGGCAGGGCCCGCCCCCAGGGAGGGGCCGCCCCGGGCACCTGGGTGAGCACGTCGTCCTGCTCCGCCAGCTTCCAGAGGATCTCGAAGTGGTCCACGTCGGGGACCTCTTCCAGGGAGGCCCGCCACCCGCCGCGGCACAGCGTCTGGTGGGGGGAGCCGGGGGCGCGGCAGGCAGCGGAGAGGGGCTCACCCGGGGCCTGGCACAGAGCAGCTGCCCAACCGGCCAGGGCGGGCCCGGGGCCCCAGGGCGAAACGGCTGGACCGGAGGGACGCCCGCCCGCCCGCCCGCGCCCTGCGGCCCAGCGCGGGGCGGTACCTGGCAGAACTCCCGGGCCTGCCGGCGGAACTCGGGGCTGTCGTGTTGGCCCACGATCACCAGCACCGGGCCAGCCGGACCCCCGGGCTGCGCGGCTGCCGCCTCCAGGAGCCTCTGCGGGCTGTTCCTGCGGGCGTCCTCCCTGGAGCCCGGTGGGAGAGCATCAGGTGGGGGAGGAACCTCACGCTCTCCTCCCCTCCCGCCTCCCCCCTCCCAGGCTCCCGCCCCGGGAGGGGACTCACGGGGTCAGGCGCAGAGGGGCGTTCACGGAGGTGTGCACCAGGGGCTCCAAGTCGTAGACCCCGCTCACCAGGAAGAAGGCTGGGGGAGAGACCCAGGGGCCGTGGCAGGGGCCACCCACCGACCGGGCCTGTGCGGGCACTGCGTGGGCAGGACAGGGCCAGCCCGGGACCCAGGGCGGGGTGGGGGGCCACGCAGGAGGGAGAGGGGGAGAGGGACCAGAATAGGGGGCCAGGAAGCAGCAAGCAGGCCCGGCTCACAGACAAAGCCCCCTGGTCAGCGGCCAGTGCAGGCCCCCAGCCCAGGCCTGTGGGGGAGGGAGGGAGAGGAGGGGAGGGAAAAGGAGGGGAAGGGAGGGGAAAAGAGGGAAGGAAAAAGGAGGAGGGAGGGGAGGAAAAAGGAGGGGGGGAGGGGAGGGGAGGGAAGGAAAAGGGGGGGAGGGGAGGGGAGGGGAGGAAAAAGGAGGGGGGAGGGGAGGGAAGGAAAAAGGAGGGGGGAGGGGAGGGCAGGGAGGAAAAAAGGAGGGGGGGAGGGGAGGGAAGGGAAGGAAAAAGGAGGGGGGAGGGGAGGGGAGGAAAAAGGAGGGGGGGAGGGGAGGGCAGGGGAGGAAAAAGGAGGGGGGAGGGGAGGGCAGGGAAGGAAAAAGGAGGGGGGAGGGGAGGGGAGGAACAGCCACCAGCCCCATGGGAACCTTTGAGGTTGGGCGTGACTGGCCACTCGGTCCAGTCCACCGGGAGCATCATGGCGGCCAGGTGGGCCCCGGCCGAGTGTCCGCACAGGTACATCCCCCTGAGGGCGGACAGAGGGCAGCGGGGCTGCAGCGAGGGGGCTGCATGGCCGAATCCTGTGCCCCAGCCCCTCCATCCCCTCCCCCCCCCCCGCATCCTCAACCAAAGGACAGCTGTGGCTACACCCGCTCCCCACACACACCCGCTTCCCCCGCACACCCGCTCCCCCCGCGTCCTCAACCAAAGGACAGCTGTGGCTACACCCACTCCCCACACACACCCGCTCCCCACGGACACCCGCTCCCCACACACCCGCTCCCCACACACACCCGCTCCCCACACACACCCGCTCCCCACACACACCCGCTCCCCACACACACCCGCTCCCCACACACCCGCTCCCCACACACACACCCGCTCTCAGACACCCACTGGTTGCTCGGGAAGCGCTCCTGCAGGAAGACGATGCTGCGGGCCACCTGGTCCACCATCTGGTCCAGGGTCGCTGGGGAGCACAGGGCGGGTCAGCGAGGGGCGCCCCCACAGCCCACCGGCCCCCTCCCCGCAGGGCCGCCTTACCTCCGGGGGCCAGGGCGTAGCCCACCACCGCCACCACCACGCCCCGCGCCGTCAGGGGGCCCACCATGTAGGCCGACTCGTCTTTACTGCAGAGACACGGCGACCCCGCCCCGTCCCCCTGAGCCCCCGTCCCCCCTGAGCCCCCGTCCCCCCTGAGCTCCCGTCCCCCCTGATCCTCCCCGTCCCCCGAGCCCCCGTCCCCCCTGAGCCCCCGTCCCTCGAGCCCCCGTCCCCCCTGAGCTCCCGTCCCCCCTGATCCTCCCCGTCCCCCGAGCCCCCGTCCCCCCTGAGCCCCCCTGTCAACCCTGAGCCTCCCCGTCCCCCTGAGCCCCCGTCCCCCGAGGGGAGAGGAGAGAGAGCTAGGAACATCGACCAGTTGCCCCCTGCACACCCCCCGCTGGGGATGTGCCCACAACCAAGGCACATGCCCTTGACCGGAATCAAACCCGGGACCCTTCCGTCCGCAGGCCGACGCTCTACCCACTGAGCCACGCCGGTTGCGGCTGTTTGTTTTAAGCTGCCTCTCCCTCTGCCTCTGCCTCTGCTCCTCCCGCTCTGCAGACCCACCTTCCCGCCTGCCAGTATCCGCCGTGGAGGAACACGAGGAGCGGCCGGGCTGTGGGACAGGGCGGGGCTGAGGCCGGCTCCCAGGGCGCCGCAGGCCCGGCCGTCACCAGGCTCACCCCCCGCCCCTCCTCCGCCCCCTCACCCCCCCTCACTGGGCCCCCCCCTCACCCCCCCCCGCCCCTCACACACACACACACACACACACACACACCCGCCTCACGGCCGCCCACCCGCTCACCGTCCTCCGCCGCCGCCTCGGGCAGGTAGACGTCCAGCGCCTCCGCGGCCGCGGCGCCGTAGGGGACGCCCAGCAGGCTCCTCCGCGCCGCCCGCGCCCTCGCCGTGGCTGCTCGGAACGGACAAGGCTGTCAGCGCAGCTCCCGCAGCAGCTGGTCCGACTTGCTCCCGGTGGAAACCTTTTATCAGCTTAACAATAACCCACAACCTTCCGGCCAACTGGGTGGAACCTTAGCTAAGCCTCTCGGTGCCCGGCCAGGGCGGCTCAGCGGCGCGCTGACCTAAGAACCAGAGGTCAGGGCACACGCCCGGGTCGCGGGCTCCATCCCCACGAGGGGCGTGCAGGGGGCAGCCGATCGGTGATCCTCTCACCACTGATGTTTCTCCCTCTCCCTTCCTCTCTGAAATCAATAAGATGCATTTTAATAAAATAAAACAAAGCTTCAAGCAACCATTGCTCAGAGGGCCTGCCGGGATCTAACCACTAGACCACATGTGTCAAACACAAGGCCCGCGGGCCAAATCCGTCCCGCCAGGCCTTGCAATGTGGCCTGCACCGCGCTGTCATCCCTGCACTCCGCTGCGTTTCCATCACAATGACAGTTTATCACTGTTCAGTAAACCATTCGGCCCGCGATTTAGGCTGGATTTTAGATTTTGGCCCCTTCTCTGATTGAGTTCGACACCCCTACTCTAGAACCAACAGGCTCCCGCTGTCCAGGCGCCACGGGGGGCCCAGGCCGCGCGGCAGGCCACGCTGAGCTCGGAAACTAAACACATTTCAATTGATTGGAACCACGAGACTTTGTCAGGTGGAGCCGTTAGACTGCCCGGAGTGAGAGCTGAATCTTAAGAGTTTTTGTGTTGTTGTTTTTTAAATATATTTTATTGATTTTTAAAAATATATTTTATTGATTTTGTACAGAGAGGAAGGGAGAGGGATAGAGAGTTAGAAACATCGATGAGAGAGAGTCATCCACCAGCTGCCTCTTGCACACCCCCCACTGGGGATATGCCCGCAACCAAGGTACATGCCCTTGACCGGAATTGAACCCGGGTCCCTTCAGTCCTCAAGCCGTCGCTCTATCCACTGAGCCAAACCGGTCTCGGCTATTTTATTGATTTTTAACAGAGAGGAAGGGTGAGGGATAGAGAGCTAGAAACATCGATGAGAGAGAAACATCGACCAGCTGCCTCTTGCACACTCCCCACTGGGGATGTGCCCGCTGTTACGCCCAGACTTCGTGATCCCCAAGGACCACCAGGGAGCCGAGTCCGAAGCAATAAACAAAAGAGCCTTCTCCACGCTAGCACGGGCTCCGTGTCCCACCCACGCTGGCAGCATGGAGGAAGAGAGCGCGAATTCCGCCCAGTCCGGTCGGTGGTGATGTCACTGCTCAGCTAACCCTGATTAGTTGGGTGAGGGGATAACTCCGCCCTGTCGGGAGCTCGTCCTCGCCCCGCCCTGCCCTCTCACCCGCAACCAATGTACATGCCCTTGCCCGGAATCGAACCTGGGACCTTTCAGTCCGCAGACCGACGCTCTACCACTGAGCCAAACCGGCTTCGGCTGAATCTTAAGAGTTTTGTCACCCTCGCACAGGGTGGACGTGCTCAGAGGGATTTAATCTGTGAAAGCTCTGCGCTGACTGAGCATCCGTTTAAAAGATGGAAAGCCACCGCTACTTCCTCTGAGGAAATTACGGTTATTCCATTAAAAATACACACAAAGGCTTCTGAGCAAAACGTTCCCGCCCGCGCCCGCGTGACCCCGGTATGAATGCGACGGAGAATCTCGCTGCCTCTAATGCACATGCTGCCCTGCCTGTCTCATTGGCGATCTCTAGGAGCGCCTTCCCAGTGAGTACACAGGGAGCTTCCTCATTCCTTCCTTTAAAAAACCCACACAGCTCATCAGTGTCTCGTCCTCTGGCTGCGCATTAATTTATTTATACAAGTCATGCCAGCTGCTTAGGACCAGAAAACCACATCCTGGTCCATCCGCTTCACTCCCCTCCCCCAGCTGAATCCTGAGCCGAGCCTCCTCCCCACCCCACGGAGACCCCCCTGGTCCCCCAGAGCGTGAATACCCATCGGCAGAACACCGGAGGGCTTGGAGGACTTACTACAAACTTCCTTTTGTGAAAAAGCAAACGTGGGGTGTCTATTATTCATGCCCATAGCTGTCCCTCAGCCCAGCCTATACCGTCGCAATCCGGAACCCCTCGGGGGATGTCCGACTGCCAGTTTAGGCCCGATCCTGAGGGCATCTGGAATGAACTGGCAGTTGGACATCCCTCTCGCAATCCGGGACTGCTGGCTCCTAATCATTTACCTGCCTGATCACCCCTAACCACTCACCTGCCTGCCTAATTTCCCCTAACCACTCTGCCTGCCTGCCTCATCGCCCCTAACTGCTCGCCTGCCTGCCAGATTGCCCCTAACGGCTCTGCCTGCCTGATCACCCCTAGCCAACTCTGTGTTGTCCCCCCCGCCCCCCCCACGGCTTTGTCCTGGTCCTGAGGAGGTCTGGAATGATGTCCGGAAGGTCATTAGGCTGTCTGGTCTAATTAGCATATTATGCTTTCGTTATAATTTTGTTATTTACAGACTCAGTAAAACAAGTTTAAGATAAATAGTTCTTAAAACCTCGCTCTGCTCTCTGCCCACGCCCCCAGCCTGCAGGAAGCCAGCCTCTGCTGGGGGATCAGGTGACCTCACTAGGAGAAACCACTCCCCACTGCTGGTTAACGGGGTGGCGCCTCAGAGTGAATACAGAAGAAAAGTAAGAGAAATGAAAGAACTCCGGGCTGCACAAGGAGAAGAGTCCACCTCTCCCTGTCCTTAGAGCGTTCCTTTAGGAACCTGACAGAATTGTCAGTCTTTTCCCTCCCCCTTTGAGATGTATGTCAGTGTTTTAAAAGCTAAACCCGTCTCCAGCCGGTTTAACAGCCTGGGAAAATGTTTCTCAAAGCCCTGGGAGGCGCCCCTTTGAAATAGCGCCCTCAGGCAGGGCCTCCCTGCCAGTGCCTGGCTCCCGGTTGCAAAACGACCTTGGGTCCTGAAGTCTCAGACTCCGATGCCCCCTCCAATCACCAGGGGGGTCCGGCCGCCCGGTGCGCCCTCGGCTGGAGCACAGGGACCTCCGGGCGGGCGCGCTGTCCGGCTGGTCACAGTCTGAGGTTCGCTGCGCTGTGCAGTCCCTAGCGGCTGGCCCTCGACGTGCAGGACCCAGCCGACAGGCTTCCTGCCTCTTTGTGGGAGGTCTTCCTGGTTCCCAGGAGGCAGGCTTTCTCTTGTTTTCTCCTGCTTTACCTCCGTTCCCCACGTTCCCAACAGTGTGACTCCAACGAGGCCATCTCCAAGGCCGCAGGCAGCACTGGTGAGGGTGGGAGCCAAGGCCAGCTGGTGGGCCCGCACGGGTGCCCCCTGACGGTCATCACCACCCCCTGCCCCTCACTCACACCGCCTGCTCCACTCTGACCCGGAAGCTGTGTTCAGGGGGGTCACGCATCACCTGCTGTGAGCCTGGGGGACGTTTCTCACCTCGTCATTCAGGGCCTGGACTGGGGGTGGCGGCTGCCTTCTTGGGGCACAGCGTGGGGAGGCGGCACCAAACCACTCCACGGTAAAGATGGTCATGGGCTGAATGTGGTGCCCCCCCAAACTCATGGTGCAGCGTGCCTCCTAATGGAGGGTACTGGGAGGCCCCTTTGGGAGGTGCTTAGGGTTAGATGAGGGTGGAGGCCCTGTGATGGGATAAGTGGCTTTATAAGAAGAGAAAGACCGGCCCTAACCGGTGTTGCTCAGTGGATAGGGCGGCGGCCTGCGGACTGAAAGGTCCCAGGTTTGATTCCGGTCAAGGGCATGTACCTTGGTTGTGGGCACATCCCCAGTGGGGGGTGTGCAGGACGCAGATGATCAGTATTTCTAATGTGAAGGAAAAGAGCCACATGCTAACCTGACCAGCTCAGGGGAGGCCTGCGTGGTGGCCTTGCAAACTCAGAGGCCTAACATAACCACCAAAGATGGTTTAAAAATTAAGTATCTAGCTACAAACAGGTCATAGTGGGTAGTCAGGTCCTAGGCCGATATTTCACCTGACAAGATCAACTTAGATCCTCTTTACTGAGCCCATTTGCCTTCCCATCTCTAAGACAGCACATCTGTGAGAAGTCTGGGTAACTTGTAACTTCCCTTTTTCCGGAGCCCCTGGGACACAACCAGTGTGGTGGGCACCGGGACAGATGCCTCACATTCCTTCGTTATCATGTTAATTGTTCCTGCACTCACCTGAGTACACGCCCATCATTTTACTTTTTATCCAATCCCAGGGGTTTCCCACCGCTTGGCTTTCTCCCGCCTCCTTACTCCATCACCAATGAATTTCATGTCACCCACCTATGTCCCTCCTTTGATTTCAGTTAAATACAAATGTAACCCTCCACTGTCCGGAGCATCATCTCAACCCACTGAGGTTCTGCTTCCCGGCATATGTCCACAGTTTGGCTCAAATAAACTCACAAAAATTCTTTACAGATTTCAATGTTTTGTTTTGTTTTTTTGTTAACACTAACTCTCTATCTCCCTTCCTCTCTGTAAAAAATCAATAAGATATACATATATAAAAGAAAGACCAAAAGTGTTCTCTCTCCCTCCCTCTCTCTCTCTCTCTGCCAAGTGAGGACACGGAGCAGGAGGCTGCCAGCCAGGAAGAGACCTCTCATCAGGGAACAAACTGGCTGGGCCCCTTGAACTTGGACTTCTCAGCTCTGGGAACCGTGAGAAATGGACTCCTGTGGTGTAAGTCTCACCAGCCCACAGCTCTGTGTCATGGCAGCGCAAGCTGACCAATCATAAGACAAGTGATATTTAAATGCAATATATGCCGAAACCGGTTTGGCTCAGTGGATAGAGCGTCGGTTTGCAGACTGAAAGGTCCCAGGTTCGATTCCAGTCAAGAGCATGTACCTTGGTTGCAGGCACATCCCCAGTAGGGGGTGTGCAGGAGGCAGCTGATCGATGTTTCTAAACTCTCTATCCCTCTCTCTTCCTATCTGTAAAAACTCAATAAAATATATATTTTAAACGCAATATAAGTTTAAAGTTAAAATTAATGCCCCAAAGTCCACGATGAACAAAAATGTCAGCATTTTAAAGAGACAGGCTCCACCCCACGTGGCAGGCCTAAGGGAGTTGCTCCTGGTCTCTTGCCCCCGAGGCAGCCCCGGGCGGGCCGGAGCGAGAGGGCCGCGGACGCGAGCTAACGGATTGCCCGAGCCCGCGGCCGTGCCTCACTCAGCGCCTGCTGCTCCTGAGCGGCCCCCGTCTCCCTCCGGACCAGCAGACGTACCGGTTTGCTACAGATGCACGCAGGGGCACTGCACCCTCAAATGTTTACTGAGCAAACAGGGTGTCCTTGGCACCCAGCTGGGCACCGCAGGGCGCTCCGCCCGGCTCTGTGGGGGCTCAGCCCCAGCCTGCGCCTCCTGCTGGGCGCCGCAGGGTGGACACCCCAGCCCCAGCTCTGAGCAGTCTGCTCCAGCACCCAGTCCCGCGGAGAGAGGGGCTGCCCCTTGCTCATGCCCCCTGACTTTAACAGAAAGGAGGCCTTCCTTTGATCACTCCCGCCCGGTGGCACAGGGGTGTGTGGCCTGGGCCTGGGCAGGGCTGGTTGGGCCGAAGGGCAAGGGGCATGGCTGGTTGGGCCTCCCACGTCCTCCTGGCGCCGGGCCTGAGCACACCAGGAGCTGGGGCAGTGCCCGGCTTCCAGAGCTGCCCCGAGCGCTGGCTGGGCAGCGGCTCCCCCACCCCCGCCCCCTGAAACGCTGCCACGGGCTGAAGTCCACCCACAGCGGCCCACAGGGAAGGGGTGCCCTGTACCCGCGATTCCTATCTCCGAGTAGGTCTTCAGGGTTTCCTCCGGTCCACGCCGGACGGCCCACCTGCTGGGGCTGTACTGCTTCTCCAGCTCCTGCAGGACAGACGGTGCCATCAGACCTCCCTCCCGCCTGGTGCTCCTCCGCCCCAGAACCGCCCCCCCATCTCAGGCTCCCACAGCTGCCCTCCGCTGCCTGGCCTCACCACCCACCGTGCCCCCAATAATTAGGAGCTTCAGATACAGCAAACAAGGGGAGATGAGGCCCCATCAATGTGACCCCATCAGCCCAGCCTCAGACCCAGGGGGCCGGGCAGCTGGGGTGGCCTCCCCGGAGGAGGACGCGGCACAGTGGGAAGCGCGAAGGAAGGGAGGAACTGGAGGTCTGCTCCGAGATGCCCGGCCCGATCGCTAACACAGAGGGCGGCTGGGAGCCGGGCTGCCGGACGGCGGGCCCCGAACGCCAGGCCATGGCATTCGGGCTTCACCCGAAAAGCAGGCGGCGTGGCGTTGGAAGGAGGCACAGAGGCGGAGGATGGGTGAAGGCCGGCCTGGGGCACGCATGGGGAGGTCTGGGGCTTGGAGTCAGCGGGGCTCCATCGTTTACAGCTTGTCTAACCCTGGACCACTCAGTCTCCGGCCTCAGTTCCCTCATCTGGGCAATGGGCACAGCAGCCTACCAGGGTAGAGGGCGCAGGGCATGGGGAGCAAGCAAGGCAGCCACTCAGGTGCGGTCACCGCCGCCGCCTGCTGGGCAGGGCTGCTGGCCAGGGCTCTGGGGCTGACCACCCGCACCTGCTGCTGCCTGCAGGTGCCTGCAGCCATGGGGCTCAGGCTGAGCTGTGATTCCTGATGGCGGCACTGCCATGGTGTCTGTGGGCCCTGATATTGTAGGGTGTGTGCGAGAGAGAGGCAGACAGAGAATGGGATTCCTTAGGGGCAGGACCCATCACTCATCGGACTCTCAGATGCGCCCATGACCAGAGAAAGGACCGCGGCCTCACGCGAGGAAATGGCAATCGAATGCCCGGGGGTTTCCGACCCCGCGCCCCGCAGCCTGGGCGCCTGCACCCCGCACTGGCCTCTCGGGTGGCCCAGGCCGAGGCTCAGGGCCCGCTCCCCCGGAGGCTCTGAGCTTCTGGAGCTCCCCCGGCCCCCCGGCCCCCCGGCCCCGCTCCGGCAGCCCTACCTCTGCGGACATGGCCCTCCAGGGCGCCGCGCCCCGGCCGGCCTCCCGCGCCGCCTCCATCCCGGCGGCGTCTGCTGCCCGCACCGCGAGGCCGCACCTCTCCCGCCCCGCCCCGCCCCTCCCGGCGGCCCCGGCCCCGGCCCCGCCCGCGGAGGAACTGCGGTTAATCTCCCGCCAACCGGGCGGGCGGTGATTGGCCGGCGCCCGGTGGTTTAAAAGCGAGCGCGGGCAGGGCCCGTTTCAAAGGAGACTTCCGGCGCCATGAGCTGCCTCCAGCTGCCCCCCGTGCTGCCCGGCTCCCCCAGCAAGGCCCGCGGGCAGATCCAGGTGCGGGGCGGGCGGGGGCGCGGGGCCGGGGCGGGGGCGCGGGGCGCGGGGCCGGGGCGCGGGGCCGGGGCGCGGGGCGCGGGGCCGGGGTGCGGGGCGGGGGCGCGGGGCCGGGGCGGGGGCGCGGGGCCCGGGGCGGGGGCCCAGCCCCGGACTGATCGCTCCTTCTCTCCCAGGTGATCCTCGGACCCATGTTCTCAGGGAAAAGGTAACGGCCTCGCGGGTGGGGGGTGGCCTGCTCCTCCGCCCCTCCCGCATCCTCCAGACCCGCGTTCCCGCCCCGGGGCCTCCCGCGGATGCCGCCCTGAGATGCAGTCCTGGGGGAGGCTCTCCTCCCAGCCCGCAGGCCACCTCCACCTCAGAGGGAGGGTCAGGCCCTCACTCGGAAGGGGCGCCCCTGCGCCTCCTCCAGGGAGATGGCCTTAGAGCTCCCTGAGGCCTGCTCCCCGGCCCGCTGTGACAGGAGCGGAGGAGGTGGGGCTACTGAGCCCCTCAAAGCTCCCTGGCCTGTTTATAAAGTGTTTTTATTGGTTTTTAGGTAGAGGAGGGCAGAGGGAGAGAGAGAGAGAGCATCAAACAGCTGCTTCCTGCAAGCCCCCTACTGGGGATGGAGCCCGAAACTCCAGCATGTGCCCTAATGGTGTCTCACCAACCACTGAGCCACACTGGCCCGGCTCCCTGGCCCTTTGGTCTATGGCCCTTGGGGACTCTCCCGCCCAAATCCCTGGCCCACAAGGGAGAGGCTGATGGGAGTAGACTCTTGGGCCCAGAAGCAAAGCCCTGTCTCTGGCGCAGAGGGTTTTGTGGAGGCAGTTCCAATTTTGGATGCAGTCTGGACCCCTCTCCCGGGCCTGTGGCCTTCGCCACCCCACCATATTACCTCCGGCCTCTCCCAGGCCACACGGGCCATCCCCCGGCCCCCAGGCCACACCCCCCTCCGGCCTTCCCCACGCCCCACCCTGCGGTCTTTGTACGGCCTGAGAGGTGGCCGGGGCCTGGCCCGGCCTGACAGCCCTCCCCTCTGCCCTCTGCCTTCGCAGCACTGAGCTGATGAGGCGGGTCCAGCGCTTCCAGATTGCCCAGTACAAGTGCCTGGTGATCAAATACGCCAAGGACACGCGGTACAGCAGCAAGTTCTCCACACACGACCGGTCAGTCCCGCCCCTCTGCTCCCCACACCTCACCGAGGAGCCCCGGGGCCAGGCCTTCCGGGCCTCTAGCCCTGTGGTTCTTAACGGGGCGATTCTGCCCCCCAGTCCACCTAGCAATGCCCGGGGATGCTTTCCCTTCACAACTGGAGGGGGTGCGTGCCTTTGGCGTCTGGTGGGCAGAGGCCAGGGTGCTGCTGGGCGTCCTGCACTGCCAGGGCACAGGGCGGCCCCCGCCACTGTCGTCCATAGTGCCTGCGGGGTGAGAGCCCCGCTCTGGGGCTGACACCTGTGCAGAGGCTGCGGGCTAGTTCTGTTGGGCCCACATTTTGGTTTTTGTTCTGTTTTTCATTTATTTTTAAACTAGAGGCCCGGTGCACGAATTTGTACATGGATGAGGTCCCTCTGCCTGCCTTGTGATCGAGCCATCTCACCCAGTCCCAATCCTGGCCAATTGGGGCTGGTGAGGGAGCGACCATGGGAGCGCACTGACCACCAGGGGGCAGCTCCTGCATTGAGCGTCTGCCCCCTGGTGGTCAGTGTGTGTCATAGTGATCTGCCAATAGTCATTTGGTCAGCCAGTTGTAACGGTCACTGAGGCATATATATATATATATATATATATAGATACATAGATATATATATATGTATTTTTATTCATTTTTAGAGAGGAAAGGAGAGGGAGAGAGAGAGAAATATCATTGATGAGAATCATTGATCGGCCGCCTCCTATACAGCCCACACTGGGGATGGAGCCCTGACCGGGAATCAAACTGATTCAACCTCTGAGCCTCGCCGGACACTTTCCTCGCGCCCCTCGGCGAGTGTGTGGGGCGTGGAGGAAAGTGTCCGGATTGGAGGCCCGATCCCAGCCGTGCCGCCTGATGCAGGTCCGCTTACCTCCCCGTCTGTGTCCTCGTCCCTGAAATGGGGCGCCTGCTGCACAGGACGGGTGCCTCCGGGAAGGACGGTAAAAGCAGAGGCGGCGGCACTGCGGGGACTAGAGGTTCCGGCTCTGGAGCCGGTCCGATGGGGTGAGACCCCGGCTCTGGCTGTCACTGTGCAGGCTGCCGCGGGCTGTCAGGGCGGCAGCGGCGCCCGAGTGCGTGGCAGGCGTGACGGCGCTCCTGGCTGCCCTCCCGAAGCCGACCCGGCTCGCTCCCCGCCCGCCTCTGCTTTCCTCCCTTTCGGGAGGGGAGGGGCGTTCAAGACGCAGGAAGTAGGTGATGGCAAGGTCATAGCAGTTGTCAGGGGCTTTGTTTTCTCATAAATACGAATGCACACTGCCTTCGGGAACGGCCAGCCCCGGCAGGCGCAGGAGGCAGAGATGGAAACGGAAGAAAAGAACATTGGAGGGAAAGCATAGAAACTATTTAAAAAGTCAGAGGACAAAGGACAGCAGGCTCTCCGGGCGGTGGGTGCCACTGGCCACAGTGGGACTTGCCCACACGCCGCCCACACGGCTGGTGGGACTCCGGGGCGCGGGCACAGGCCGGGCGGGCACCGAACAGCGGGGTCAGGAATCCCAGGCCATCGCCTGCTGCCCAGCTCTGCCCGGGCCAGGCCACAGCCGTCCTGGGCCCCGGGCTCGGCCTTCGTGGGTCTCTTCCTCCATCCAAAGAAAGAAAACACATTGTTTTATGACTGCATTGATGTGAAGACCGATGTCAGGCAAGGCTGAGATATACATATATATGTGTATGTATATGTACTTGATATGTTTTTATTGATGTCAGAGAGGAAGGGAGGAGAGAGATAGAAACATCATTGATGGGAGGGAATCAGGGACCAGCTGCCTCCTGCACGCCCCCCACTGGGGATGGAACCCACAACCCTGGCCAGTGCCCTGACTGGGAACCGAGCTGTGACCTCCTGGCTCATAGGTTGGAGCTCAACCATTGAGTCACACCGGCCGGCAAGACTGAGTTATATTTATTCTGACTTTTAAATGGAAGGAAAACGTTTTGTTGGCCTCAGTGGCACCATGGGGCCTGGTCACTGGCCCAGAGGCCTGGAGAGCAGCAGAGAAGCGCTGTCCGTGGTCGGACCGCCACTCTCTGGCCCTGGGCGTGCGGTGCAATGGCGGGTGTAGACTGACCGGTCTCCGCACACAGGCCTTTGCTGTCCCAGAGGCCTTGGCGGGGTGCAGACATCGCCACACTACAGGCAACATGGCAGCCTGCCCTGCCAGCAGGGGTGGTCCCGGCGCTGGCCCCGGCCCCTCGCCGCTCACCCGGCTCCCCCTGCAGGAACACCATGGAGGCGCTGCCGGCCTGCCTGCTGCAGGACGTGTACACGGAGGCCATGGGCGTGGCCGTCATCGGCATCGACGAGGGGCAGTTTGTAAGTGGGCTCGGCCTGGCCTCGCCTTCCTGGAACCCCTGCCTGTCCCCCCGTCTCATCTTTACCTTGTGCTCTGGGTCCGTCGGGCAGCAGATGGCAGGGTGGCCCCTTCGCCTGGTCCTTTGGAAACTGTCTGCGGGCCAGTCGCGTGGGAAGGTCACGGGTCCCGGCCGCTCTCAGCACAGCGTCTCGCCGGCTTTCCTGTCCATTCCTCCTGGTTTGTGTTCGTGTGTCTCTGCCTAAGCAGCGTGGTCTCCGGCCAGGAGCCGCCTCTGTGAGGTTCTCCGGGCACTGCCTCCCAGGCTGCTGGAGTTTTTGTTTTGTTTTGTTTTTTATAATTTTACCTTTTCTTTTTCTTTTTAATATATTTTATTGATTTTTTACAGAGAGGGAGAGAGAGAAACATCGATCAGCTGCCTCCTGCACACCCCCTATTGGGGATGTGCCCACAACCAAGGTACATGCCCTTTAGCCTAGCGGAATCAAACCCAGGACCTTTCAGTCTGCAGGCCAACGCTCTATCCACTGAGCCAAACCAGTCAGAGCAAGGTTTTGAAGACTATTTTCCATTTCTGGGATTTCCAGTCAGCTCCTCTTTTATTATTTATTTATTTATTTATTTAATATGGTTTTGTTGGTTTGAGAGAGGAAGGGAGAGGGAGAGAGAGACATCAATGATGAGGGAGAGTCATTGATCGGCCGCCTCCTGCATGGCCCACACTGGGGATGGAGCCTGCAAACCCAACCATGTACGTGCCCTAACCAGGAATTGAACAGTGACTTCCTGGTTCCTAGATCAATCAACACTCCCCTGAGCCCCGCCGCCCGGGCCAGATCCTCTTTTATCTGCTGCGCATCTGTCTGTAACAGTGGCCGGCAAACTCATTAGTCCACAGAGCCAAATGCCAACAGCACAACGATTGACATTTCTTTTGCGAGCCGAAAACTGACTTCTGAGCATGGGCTTCAATCGCACTGTACGTGAGCGCCCGCATGTCGGGTTCTGTGCAAGAGCCACACTCAAGGGGCCAAAGAGCCGCCTCTGACTCACAAGCCGCAGTTTGCCGACCACTGGTCGTTAACAGCTCTTTCATTCAAGTCTCTGTTTGAGGCTGGTGCCCCTCGATCAGGTAAATATATCTCTCTTTGTTTAATTTTCTTTTTCTTTTTTTAATTTTCATTTTTTATTAAATTATTATCTTTTTTTGTTTAATTTTCACCTGAGGATATTTTTCCATTGATTTTTAGAGAGTGGAAGGAAGGAGGGAGGGGGGGAAGAGAAACATTGATGTGAGAGTCATATCAATGATGAGGTAGAATCATTGTACATGCCCTTGACTGGCATTGAACTTGGGACTCTTCAGTCTGAGGACCGACGCTCTACCCACTGAGCAACACAGGCCAGGGTGTAAATATTCCTCCTCTGTTCGGCCGGCCTTTGTCGCGTGCTGTCACGTCCTTCATTCCTGTCCCTGGTGGCCTTTGTGCCTCGGTGCCAGCATGAGGGCCAGGAAGCGGAGCCAGAGGCCGTCTGCTGCCACTAAGCCAGCCAGCCCTGGGCAAGCCGATGACGGGGTGCAGACCTACCTCCCAGCGTCCCCACTTCCCCTGGGGGTGCTCTCCCCATTGGACCTGTTCAGGAAGCAGCTCGCTGCAGGCAGGGGGCGGGGGCAGAACCTGCCTGGGAACCCCAGTGTGCAAACTCGTCACCATCCTCTTTCCCTGCCTTGTTCCTACACGGCAGTGATTTTACCTACCAACAAAGCCCCAATTTACTGAGAACTTTGAAATCCCATTTGAAATGCAACCTGTAGCCTGTCCGGGGTTGAGTGTCCACCGGTAAACCGAGAGGTCAAGGGCACACGCCCCTTGCAGACTCGATACCCATTAGGGGGCGCACAGGAGGTAGCTGGCCAGTGAGTCTTATTAATGTTTCTATCTCTGTCCCTCTCCTCTGAAATCATTTTAAAAAAATATATTTTATTGATTTTTATACAGAGAGGAAGAGAGCGGGATAGAGAGTTAGAAACATCGATGAGAGTCATCGATCAGCCGCCTCCTGCACGCCCCCTACTGGGGATGTGCCCACAACCTAGGTACATGCCCTTGACGGGAATCGAACCTTGGACCTTTCAGTCCACAGGCCAACGCTCTATCCACTGAGCCAAACCAGTTTGGGCTGAAATCAATTTTTAAAAATATAGTTTTTAGTCGGGACCGGTTTGGCTCAGTGGATAGAGCATCGGCCTGCGGACTGAAAGGTCCCGGGTTCGATTCCGGGCAAGGGCATGTACCTTGGTTGCGGGCACATCCCCAGTAGGGGGTGTGCAAGAGGCAGCTGATCGATGATTTTCTCTCATCGATGTTTCTAACTCTCTATCCCTCTCTCTTCCTCTCTGAAAAATCAATAAAATATATTAAAAAAATAAATAAATAAAATAAAAATAAAAATATAGTTTTTAATGTAAATCCTTTTAAAAAATCAATGGACAAAATACGCTGGCTCCTTGAGTGAGGATTCGTTAAAATCCAAACAAAAGTAATGGCAATAAATGGCAGCGACGAGGCACCCACCGACACGGGGCTCCCCCCTCAGCTCGGACTGGGGCGTCCCTCCCGGACCCAGGCTCTTCGCTGGGGGCGGCGGCATGCGAGCGGGACCAGGCCTTCGGGCAGGAGCGCCGGCTCTTTGGCTCTTTGCGGCATCAGGGTCGGAGGGGGCCGAGGTCCCCCGGAGCGTCCGCCGGTGAGGACGGCTGTCCTGACTGTCCGTGCGCAGGGAATGCTGGCCAGCGGCAGGCCTTCCCGTGGCTCCGGGAGCTGCTGCTGGCGGGGACGGCGGGGTGGGCGCTCACTCCTCGCCGCGCTTTCCAGTTCCCGGACATCGTGGAGTTCAGCGAGAACATGGCCAACAACGGGAAGACCGTCATCGTGGCCGCGCTGGACGGGACCTTCCAGAGGAAGGTGAGGCAGCGGGTGTGGGTGCTGGGGTGGGCCCCGGAGTGAGGAAGAAGCGGGCACAGGCGTGCAGGGACACCCGCAGCCCAGCCAGCCTCCTCCGCCTCAGCGGGGCGCTCCCGGGTGCCCTCTCCGAGGGGCTGGCGGGGGCGGGGGCCGGGTCCAGGCAGCTTCCTGGCTCTGGTGCTGAGTGGGGGTTGGAGGGCCGAGCCGCCAGAGCGAACACCTCCGCCCGCCAGGCCTTCGGGACCATCCTGCACCTGCTGCCGCTGGCGGAGAGCGTGGTGAAGCTGAACGCCGTGTGCATGGAGTGCTTCCGCGAGGCCGCCTACACCAAGCGGCTGGGCCAGGAGAAGGAGGTAGTGGCCCGCTGTTCCCTGGGGGGGGGGGGGGGGTTCGGGGTGCTGTGCCCACTCAGTCCAGGCCCCTTTGTGTTCCAGGTCGAGGTGATTGGAGGAGCCGACAAATACCACGCCGTGTGCCGCGTCTGCTACTTCCGGAAGGCGCCGGGCCACAGGGAGGACAAGGAGAACTGCCCGGCGCCGGGGAAGCCCGGGGAGGCCAAGCCTGGCGAGGCTGTGGGTGCCAGGAAGCCCCTGTTCCCTCATCAGACCCTGCAGAGCAGCCTGGCCAACTGAGCCTGGGGCTGGCGCCCCCTAGCGGACACCTGCCCGGCGCGGAGCCGCCTCAGGAGGAAGCGGCCGGGGACCCTTCACCGCCTATGGCTGCGGCAGCTCCGTCTGCAGGCCCTTGCCCGGCGGTGGCCGCAGTCCGTTCCCCCCTCTGCCTGCCCAGCTCGGGCTGCAGCCGGCCCTGCGGCTCCGGTCTGGTCCCGGCCCTGCAGCCGTGCTCCTTCTCCTTTGGGCGAGGAGCAGCCGCATGCTGCGGTGACATCAGCGACGCCGGCTCCTTCCCTCTCCGTGGCTTTCACCGCCGAGTTTCTGTTCTCACCGGCCCAGCTGCTCCCACGGCGCCCCCCTCCGCGGCGGGCCGGCCGGCCGGGCGTGTGCCTTCGTGCTTCTCTCTGGGCTGCGAGTCCTTCCTGTTCTGGGATCCCTTCTCGGAAGGACAGCTGTCACGCGGGGCGCGCACCCTCCGCAGGGGGAGGCGTGGGCAGGCCGGCTGCGCTGCCGGTGAGGTTAATGACTGACATTAAAGCCGCTGGCTGCAGGGAGCGCGCTTCTCTCTAAGCGCCTGGAACTCCCCGGGTGCCCTGTGGGGGGTTTCTTTCCGGATCTTTCTCTATCCTCTGCTCTCAGCCACAACCTGGCAGACGGGGCGTGGAGCAGGTCCTACGAGGAACGTCCCTTTCTCCGACAGGTTTCGGGGCGGAAGGGGTGAGCAGGGCCGGCCCGCTCAGTGCTGCCAGCTGGGGCTGCGGGGTCAGGTTTTGTTTGTGAAACAGACACTGACAATTCAGGAGCCAAGAAAACGGGCTCAGCTGCGCCTCCAGGCGCGTGCCCGCGGGTGGGCGGGCCTGGCTGCGGGTCTGCCCGGTCACTGAGGAGCTGTACGCGGTGAGGTGCAGCTCAGAACCCTACACGCAGTTCCTGGGGTTTTGAAATGACTGGGGCCCACTTCTGACAGCTCCCTCTGTCATTGCTCAACGGGGAAGCTGCTTCAGGCCCTGGCCTGGGGGAGGGGGACGGGGTGCTGGGTGCCAAGCCCCAAACCACCTCCTGCCTGCTGGGAAGGGCCTGGAGGGGAAGGCACTCAGGGCCAGCTGTGGGCACAGAGCTGGGAGGCAGTCCGGCCCCGACTGTCCTGTTTACCGCTGAGCGCAGCTGCTATTTTAAGGTGCTGATGGAAGGCAGGGTGAGGAATGCCACCCCAGAGGGAGTGGGCAGGCGCTGGAGGGGCAGCTAGGCACAACCTTGTTCAAAATGCAGGTTCCAGGGGCCCCTTCTCTTCCGCCTTCAGAGGCCAGCCAATGACAGTGGAGATTACGAATGAGAAAAACATTTATTCCATCTCTGAACCAGCCTCACAGAATCCGAGGGGGCAGATGTCTTCCCCACAAAAGCTTTCAGATCCATTCAGAACAGCCTGGGGGCTGTGGCTACACACACCTCCCACCGGAGGCGCAGCATGTAAAGCTGGGTGTGGTCAGGCAGAGCCCCTCCCTCCGGTGGGGGAGGGGAGCAGGGGCAGGAGGCGCTGCCCAGGGGCCCCTGGGTGGGCAACAGCCCTGCCCCGTGGCTGGCACAGGGGATGACCGAGCTGAGCAAGCAGACCCACAGCAGCCAGATGGCTGCGGCCTTGGGGCAGGCAGGGGAGGGGCACCAGCGAGGGCATCTCCCAGAAGCCTCTGGGAGTGGGAAGGGCACTGAGGCAGACGCGGGCAGACCTGAGTGAGGGGGAAGGGAGAGCCAGCCCCACATCAGCAAGTGGGAGGACCCCCAGCCTCGTCTTTGGCAGAGAGCCAACCCCCCGTGGCTCCCGGGCCTTGTTTTCCCGAGCCCCAAACAAGGCACTTAGGACAGCGTGGCGGCTCCTGGGGGCGTGGGAAAACAAGGCACTTAGAACAGCAAGGCGGCACTGCTCGCTACCGGGGGCGGGGACCGTCAGAAGCAGTGACCAATGTCTAGTTAAAAACCCTTTGGGTGCCCTGAGGAGGGGGCGCTGCCTGAGGCAGGGGCGCCAGCAGCCCCTGGAGGCACGCCTTGGGGGTGGGAGGAGTCCAGAGCCCGGCGGCCCTCCCTGCCCAGTTACCGTCCCCCCAGCGGCTCAGTACACGACGGGGGGCTGGTAGCCCTCGGCGGCCTCGGCGCTCTGAGTGAACGGAGGCTGCTGGTAGCTGTCGGCCGGCGGGCCCGGGTACGAGGCGTAGGCTGTGCTGGGGTCCGGGGCGGGGTCCACGTAGTTCTGCATGAAGTCGTCCACCCCGGCCTTGTAGCGCTGGTAGGCCAGGGCGGCCAGCAGGCCCTGCAGGGAGTCGGGGGTTGGCTCCTCCTCGCCCGCCCTGCACCAAAGACCCCGGGGCCCGCCTGCCCGCCCACCCGCCGGCCGGCCGCCTACCCAGGAGAAGATGGAGAAGAAGCTGAAGGTGATGGCCGCGCGGGCCGAGTCCGCGCCCACCAGCACGTCCGCCGGGTCCGTGGCCGCCCACTGGTTGGTGAGGAAGCAGAAGCCCACGAACCACAGGAAGGTCCAGAGAGCTGGGGGGCGGGCAGGGTCAGCTCCCGGAGCCTCCGGAGGGAGAGGGCCTGAGGCTGGTGCGGGCGGTGGGGCTGGGAGGCCCTCGGGAGCCTGGCTCCAAGGCCCAGCTCGGCGCTCGGCACCAGCCGGCTTCCGGCCCGTCTGCTCCGGTGGGACCTCTGCCTCTCCCCGCCCTCTCCCTGCCCCTCCTGCCAGCTCCGAGGGCGCCCCGCCATCGAGACCCCCCCCCCAGAGCGCCTGGGAACACAGCCGCTCCCGCCCCGCCCCTCCGGGGCGGACACCTGAGAAGAGCAGGTCGCCGATGACCAGGTACTTGCGGTCCACAGCGTTGCTGAGCTGCGGGAAGTAAGCATCGACGACGAGGAAGAAGGCGCAGGCCAGGAAGGCCAGCACGCCGATGGCGCTGCCGTAGCGGCAGGCATCCTCGTTGCGGTTGAAGACGCAGGACAGCTGGTGCGAATGGTGCGGGTTGCTGTAGCCCTCGCCGAAGATGCAGGAGAACACGATGAGGGCGAAGACCTGCCGCGGGGGCGGGCGGGGGCTGAGTGCGGGGGCCTGGCCTGAGGGGCCTGGGGGAGCGGGAAGCCAGCTGCCTCCGGCGGCGGGCGGCGGCCTTCATTCTCACTTCTCCCTGCGCCCTGCCTCTCAGACCACAGCACACAAGCGGCACCGGGAGGGGAGGCCGGGGATTCCGGGCCGTGGGCGCGAGGAAAGGACGGGGAACTCCTGGCGGGGACTGCCCTGCCCGCTGCCTGTGCGGTGGCATGAGGGGCGATCTGGCCACTTCCACGTACAGAGGTTTTTTAAAAATATATTCTTACTGAGTTTTTACAGAGGAGGGGAGAGGGAGAGAGAGTCAGAAACATCGATGAGAGAGAAACATCCATCAGCTGCCTCCTGCACACCCCCCACTGGGGATGTGCCCGCAACCAAGGTACATGCCCTTGACTGGAATCCAACCTGGGACCCTTCAGTCCGCAGGCCGACGCTCCATCCACTGAGCCACGCCAGTCAGGGCACGCAAATGAGTTTTAAACACACAATCACAAAAGTTCAGGCCTGAAGTCTCATCCCCCCCCATCACCCACCTGTCACCCTGACAGCACCCACCCCCTGCCTGATGCCCTGCAGGAAGGCCCCCAGCCCTCAGCGACACCCGGCCCCCCCGCCCCTCCCCTCCCACTTCCCTGCCCCAGGCCGGCCTCCCCAGTTTGTCCAGCTTTCTCTCCACAAGGACTTCCTGTCCCTGGCGTCCTGGCCACGCCCCTCCGAGAAAACCCCAACCGCCCTCCCAGCCCCGCACGGGAGCGGGTGCTGATCTCAGGGTGCTGCCGGCTGGTCTGCGCTCCGAGCGGAGGTCCTGGGTGAGCTCCCGGGGGCTTCCAGTGGGAACAGCCCCGGGCACCTGGTCTCCTCCCCACGCTTCCAGGCCGCCGCCCATTCCCAGAGGCAGGTGTGTGCTCCCCGGGCGGCCAGGCCCCGGCACCCCGGCCTCTCCGCAGGCCCCGCCCAGGCTCAGAGGAAGCCGGAACTCCAGGATGCTGGGAGCGGGGTGCTAGGCCCCACGCCTGGCACTGCCCTCCCGACCCACGGGCACCTGCTCCTGGGGTCAGACCCTGCCGCCGGGCATGGCGGGGCCCGGGGGCCCCCGGGGCACCTCAGAAAGCTCCAGTCCCAAGTCCCAGGCCGAAGTGAGCCCCGAGGGCCCAGCCTGCTGCCGCCCACCCAGTCCAGCTTTGGGTGCCAGGGCCCAAGAGCATGGGACCCACCCCACTTCCCGCCCCCAGGAGCCGTGCCCGGGGCTCGCCCGGCTCAGGGGGAGGAGGCACCCTGGTCACCCGACCGTGGACGGGGAGACAGACCTGCGCGGACAGGAGACCTGTTTCAGGGCGCCCACCCACACCCACACCCCCACCCCCACCCACACCCCACGTGGCTCCGGAAAGCCCCTTCCAGGTGGATGCCCGGGCGGGAGCCCCCAGGCCGCCGGCCACCTGTCCCGGAGCGGCCCAGGCTCCTCCCACCGCCAGCCGGACACGGCCTGCTCCTCGGGCGCCCGGCCCCGCGCCCGGGCCGGCGGAGAGGCGCCCGGCCCCGGGCTGGGCTGGGCTGGGTGGGGGCGGCCGAGCCCGGGGCTGGGGGGTGGCGGGTCCCCCGCGCGCCGCCTCCCGCCCCGCGGCCCGGGCCGCTGCCACCTGTCGCCGCCGGCTCGCGGGCGCCGGGCCGGGCGGAGGGCCCCGGCCCCCGCCCCGACTCACCAGGCTCACGGCGCGCGCCAGCACCTGCGGCTGCGCCAGGAAGCGCCGCAGGTCGAAGGAGCCGCCCGCCTTGGCCGCGCCGTAGGCCCCGCTCTCCATGTCGCCGCCGCCGCCGCCGTCGCCGTCGTCCGCGGACGCCGAGGAGCCAGCGGAGCCCCGCCCCGTCCGCCCGCTGGCCCCGCCCCGCGGAGCCCCGCCCCGTCCGCCCAGCAGCCCCGCCTTCAGATGACCCCGCCCACCGCCCTCTAGTCCCGCCCCCAGCTAGCCCCGTCCGCTAGCTCCGCCCCCGTCGCCTAGCCCCATCCCCAGCTAGTCCCGCCCCGTCTGTTAGCTCCGCCCCCATTGTCTAGCCCCGCCCCGGGGCGTGGCCAGCGGGGCCCCAGGGACGGAGGGCAAAGTGCCGGCGGCGGCGGCGATAACGTCCAGCCCCCGCGTTGGGCGGCCCCGGCGCGACCCGAGAGGGCAGGGCGTCCCCAGGAGAAGAAGGACTCGCGGGGGAGGGCCCCTGCCTTCGGCCCCGCCTTCCTGGGCGCCTGCTCCCCGCCTCCTCCAGGAAGCCCAACCGGAGCCGTCTGGGCCGCACCTGCCGGGCCCAGGCCCCTGGCACACACACACCCACGCCCTGGCCGCCGCCGGGACCCGCCCTGCCCTCCGCTCCGGAGCTGAGCCTGGGTGGGTGCAGACCACCCAGTTCTTCCCCTGCTGCCCCCTCCCCACGCCCCAGGTGGTAAAGGCGGCGGGGCTTCAGACGCCAGGCTCCAGAATGGGGTGCGGGCAGAAACTGGGTCCCAGAGCGACAGTGGGGGGAGGGTCAGTTTAATCCGGTTCTTTCCTGGGCTGGTTCAGAGCAACTGAGCAGGGAAGGCGGGGAGGGAGGTGCAGGCTGAGGACGGGACCCCTGCACCTTCCCTTGCCGCTCAGGTCACTGAGGGGGTGCTGGCCAGGTGGACCACCAGGAGACGGGGTGCCCCTCGGGGAAGAGGGAGCCGTGGGGGGAAGCGGCCATGGTGTGGGTGTAGCTGGGCCTTTTCAGTCCCCCCTGGACCCGCATTCCCAGCCCATCCTGGAATCCTCCGCAGGGCTGGGCTGGCGGCTGTTCCTCACTCCCAGGGGTGCCGTGGGGGGCTCTGTGAGCCTGCACCTGCTGGTCACTACCTGTAAGACAAAGGGGGTGAGACTCCGGGTGAGGGAGCGCCCCCCCCAAAGGCCTCTGGGAGTTTATGGCGCCAGGGGCATCGGGCCCAGGCCAGGGAGGGCCGTGAGGCTTTGTCACCCCACCGAGTGAAGGGGCGCCCAGTCTCCCAGGGGGCAAGTGCTGGCCCAGGTGGGGTCTGGTCCCTGCACCCCATGTTGTAGAAGGGAAACAGGCTCAGGGAGGTGACATGGGTCGCCCCTGGGTCTGGCCTCGAAGGAAGGGACCTGAGAGAGACAAGGTCTGGGCCTCGGGTAGACCCCTGGGGCCGTGCCAGAGAAGAGGGGGGGGCACAGGAGAGCAGAGCTGATGGGCCTGGGTCTGCGCCCCCAGAGGCGCCTGCTGTCCCACCACACAAAGGCCCTGGTCCTGTGGCTCCCCATCTTTTCTTGCCCCTCCCTCCCCCCCCCCAAGCACCTCTAATATCCTGATGTCCGTCCCCCTCTGACACAGAATTCTTATTATTTAAACAGTGAGCGCCTGGCTATAGGGAGGAAGCCTAAGGCCAGGAGCTTGGTCTAAACAGAGCATGACATCCATCAGAAGAGTGGAGCCTGGGGAGGAAATCACTAAGAAGTTGTTAATGATATCGCCCTGGCCAGTATGGCTCAGTGGATAGAGCATCAGCCTGCAGACTTAAGGGTCCGGGGTTTAATTCTGGTCAAGGGCACAAGCCTGGGGTGCAGGCTCTGTCCCCAGTAGGGGGCATGAGGGAGGCAGCCAATCAGTGATTCTCATCACTGATGCTTCTCTCTTCCTCTCTCCCTCTCCCTTCTTTCTAAAATCAATAAAAATATATATTAAAAATAAATTGTTAAAAATAATAATATGAAGTGATATGAAAAAATAGCAAAGTAATAGAGACCTGAAACGCATAAATATGTCACTATATATTTCTATACTGTATATGAGGCCCCTAAAATCATACGAAATTTAAAAATTCACTGTTAATAACTCATTCTCAAATGGCCCCCCTTAAAAATCAAATTGCCCCCCTGAGGGGTACGTGCCCCAGGTTGGGACCCACTGCCCTGGTCACTTAACACGTCATTGAGATGATGAGCTGGGAGAGGGGACCCCAGGAGGCCCCATCCTGCCTCCGTGGCTCCAACCTGGTCCCAGCAGGCCTGTCCCCATCCCAACATCCCTCCTCAGCCCGCAGGCCAGTGTGCCACCCAGAGGCAAGCTGACTACATTGCAGGGCAGGGCAGCTGGGACCAGGGTCATGGCCACATAGAGCTCTGAATCAGCAAGCCCTCCGCGGCACACAGTAGGTCCTCAATAAACTCCTGCAGGGCGCCCACAAGCACTACGGCCCTTTCTTTGCCCCGTGGCATCCCTGCCCTAGAGCCCAGCTCCCTCTGCTCTCCAGCTGGTGCGCACAGCCCACCCGCTCTTCTTCCCGCCGCTCCCCGCCAGCCCCGCCGCCTACCTGTTCCACCTGGTCCAGCCCAGCATCCCGGAGGAGATGGCGGCGATGGAGGTGAGGCTGGCAGCCAGCACGACGGTGGGGGCCTTGGGCAGCTGGCCTGCGAGGGAAGCAGGTAGGACCAGGGTAGGCATGGCTGCTTCCGGATGCCCTTCCCTGCTCTGGCACCTCCCACCCACCTGCCAGCGGTGCCCCTGCCCTCTGCACACCAGGGCCCTCTCACCTGGGGGCGCCAGCATGAGGGGGCTGCTCTGGACACTGATGCCGTTTTGGGCCTGGCACCGCAGCCAGGCTGACGTCTGGGTCAGCGGGAAGGAGAAGTTGGCGGGCTGCCCATACCGCGGTGTCTGTCGCACGTGCACGTGCCCGTCGCGCCCGACCAGGCTGTAGGTGATGGGCGGGCTGCCCGAGGCCGCCTGGCAGGAAATCTCGAACCTTGGGGCCGTCTCTCTGTCCAGCACGGTGAAGTTGGCGTGCAGCTGGGACACAGGCTCTGGGGGGGGAGGGGGGGGAAGGGGACGAGGCGGGGAGGAAGCACAGGCATGGCTGGGAGACTCCAACACCCTCTCCCCAGCAAGTTCCCTTGTTCCAAAATCATCTCTGGAGGCCTAACTGTGATTGCGCCTCCTCCAGGCAGCCCTCTGGATTGCTCCCTCTGCCTTGTGTCTTGGCAGTTTCTCATTCGGTGTTAGTTTCACGTAGCATATTCTAGGTTGCCAGTTAAATTTGAATTTCAGGTAAACAATGAAGAATTTTATTTTTAAGTCTTCATCTAAGGATTCTTTTCCATTGATTTTTAGAGAGAGTGAAAGGAAGGGGTAAAGACAGAGAGAGAAGCATCCATGTCTGAGAGACACATCAACCGGCTGCCTCCTGCACGCTCCCTCCTGGGGAGGGAGCCACAGCCTGGGCAGGTGCCCTGACCGGGAATCGAACTGGCGACCTCTCTGTGCATGGGCCAATGCCCAACCCACGAAGCCACTTGGGCCAGGGCGACCACACGCCCTCTGTCAGTGCTGTATGTCCTGTGCAGCGTCTACCAGGCAATCCTGCTCCCCGTCTTCCAATCTTCTACTGAAATACAAGCTCCGTCAGGACAAGAACTGCTGCTCACAAGAGTCTAGATTCTAGAATCTCCAGGCCTTCCGCCCGATGCTCTGAACAGCCCCAGGCCTGCTCCGATCCTGACCCCTGACTGAACCCTCACTGCCCCTGGGTACCCCTGCACTAGGTGCTACCATCTTTGTTTTGTAGATGAAGCAACCGAGGCTCAGAGAGCGGGAGTGACTGCCCAGGAACCCACAGCCTGTGAGTGTGGGTTTGAACCCTCCACCAGGAGTGCTCCAGGCAGAGGGCTCTGCTCCCCAGGCCGTGCAGGGCCCGGGGTCCCTGTCCCAGCCCCGGGGTCCCTGTCCCAGCCCCAGGCCCATGCCTCCCGCCGGGAAGGGCTCCGGGGGCGCTCAGGGCGGCCCGGGAAGGACAGGACTGGGAGCTCCGTGCAGTGGGATTGGAACCACCGTTGCTGCTAGTCGGCGGGGCTGGGACAACTGCCTTAATCTCCAAGGGCTCGAGCTGTCCCCCCAGAGGCTGGGACCACGGCCCCACCCGTGGCTGCTGAGCAGATGAAGCCAGATAAAACCAGATAAAACCCACACGTGCCCTTTATCAGCCTGAGGCCGGAGCTCAGCCTGGGCGCTGTGCCACCAGCCCTCCAGCCCCCCGGGGGCCCAGCCAGGATCTATGCCCACCTGTGCCCAGGCCCCACGGGGCCGAGAGAGGCCCTTGAAGAGGGACAGCCGCTTGCCCCAGCCCCCAGGCTTCCACTCCCAGCCCCTACCCGCCTGCCACCCCACCCCCTGGACTCACTGGCCCACAGCTCCCAGTACAGCTGCAGCGGGGCGCTGGCCAGGCGCGTGCCCCCCGAGGTGCTGGCCTGGCAGCTGTAGGTGAGCAGGTCGGGCCTGGACTTGAGCGTGACGTTGATGTGGAAGGACACGGGCTCATGGGTGCTGGCCACCTTCCTGGCGACCTCGACGTCCCGGCTCCCCCAGAGGGTGTAGGTGACGGGCCGGGGCATCGGCGCGGGCACCTGGCAGGTGACGGTCACGCGGCGGCCGCGGGGGAAGACCTCCAGGACCCGGTAGGCGATGGAGAGCTCGGGTTTGAGTTCTGGAAGGTGAACGGAGGAGGGAAGAAGCCAACGTTGACCAAGCGCGGGAGGGCGTGCCGGTGTGCCGGCGCTTCAGAAGGTCACACCAGGAGCCGCCATCTGCCCAGCAGTGCCGCCCGCACGTATGCACCGGAAGGAGGGGCTGGGCATCCGCCTGTGAACCCGGAGGCCACGGCTCCATTCCCGGTCAGGGCCCAGGCCCAGGGGGTGGGCTCCATCCCCAGTGTGGGGGGTGCAGGAGGCAGCCGATGGATGATTCTCTCTCCTCATTGATGTGTCTGCCTGTCTGTCTCCCTCTCCCTCCCTCTGTGAAATCAATAAAAACAGTTTTTTAAAAAGGCAGTTTCTGTCCAGTGACACGTGGCAGTGTGGCCTCCCTCTGGCCCAGGGCCTCACCTTGCTGCATGTGGCCAGGGTCCTGAGGGTGCACCGGGCCGGGGGTTCCTGCAGGAAGGGGACAGGGAGGGACAAAGCAGACCAGGCCCCCAGGGGCCCAGCGCGTATGGAGGCCTGAGCATGCGCAGTGGCCAGAGGGACGAAGGGTGCGGGCCAGGCCCCGGTACCCAGAGAGGCCAGCATCTTGTTTAGAGGGACAGTCAGAAGGCAGCGGGCAGGTGGACCCAGGTCCACGGGCACAGGGACCCCAGGCTTGCAGGGGACGGGCTGAGCCAGAGAGAACGGGGTCCCCCCGGAGAGCAGCCCGGCTGCATGCCCACAGAACCCGCAGATCACTCCTCCGTTAGACCCAGGGCAAACCCTCACTCAGCCCCAGCCGGTGTGACTCAGTGCATGGACCATTGGCCCGTGGACTGAAGGGTCCTGGGTTCGAGTCCAGTCAAGGGCTCATGCCCTGGTTGAGGGCTCGATCCCCAGGGTAAGGTGTGCAGGAGGCAGCCGACCAATGATTCTCTCTCATCACTGATGTTTCTCTCTCTCTCTCCATCTCCCTTGTCTCTGAAATCAATACAAATATATTTTCTAAAATAATCAAGCTTTAGCCTTGAGAAAACATACAAGCCCCCCCAACCCCTCCCTCTCTCAGCCGCTCCCTGCAGGGGGTCCCCGCCCAGGCCTCCTCTCTGTGGTGCTGACTGTTTTGTCGGCAGGTCCGGGCCGGACGGGAGGCACACGCCCTCCAAGGCCTGCCCATCGGCCTCTCTGGCTGCCCATCGTGCATTTGCCGCCATGGATGGACCATTCGGACCAAACAACCTGACTCTGACCAGTGGGGGTGGGGTGTACTTAATGGTGCGCTTCCAAGACTAGTGTGTGTGTGTGGAAGGGGGGTGGGCAGGGGGAGGCATCTGGGAAACCCATTTATCGCCCTCCAGCAGGATGGCTGGACACTACGGGGCCAGCACCCCCTGGCTGAGCAGAGGCTGGAACAGACCCGGTGTGGTCTCCGGGGGCGGCTCCCAGGAGCCCAGTCTCTGGGCACCGAGCCTCCTTCTCTCAGCCTGGGCCTCTCAGCCAGGGTGTCCCCGGGTGTCACCAGGAGAGGGCGCTCTCTCGTGGGCACCTCTTGCCATTTTCTGACTTGGAACGCTGAGCTGTGCGTGGACCTGGAGCACCTCTCTGGGCACCTCTCTGGGCACCGTTCTGCAATTCGCTACCATAATGTCATCCGTGCCAGCCTGGGCCAAGCCCAGCTCCGGCCAGCCTCCGGGGCCAGCCTCCCCCTCCCCGGGAGGGCGGGTGCAGCAGAGGCGCCCACAGCTCCCCGCTCCCTTCCCCATGAGTAAAAGTGAAAGGAAGCCGGCCCCTCGTTTCTATTCGTGGGCCCTGATTTACATAAGTTTCCGCTGCGGCTCCCCAGCTACCCACCCGGGTGCAGCCGTGCATTATCCGGCGTCCGCCCCCGCCCCCCTAAACCCGGCCGAGCCTCGAATTTAAACTCCCCGCATGCCGGTGGCGCCCTCGCCATTTCCTGGGGCAATGCTCCGGGGCCTGAGGCGAAGCGGCAGGGCGTCCCCCTGGCCCCGGCTCTCCTGCGCTGGACACGTCTCCTGCGTTTTGTGCTGGGACGTGCGGTCCAGGCCTGAGCCCGGCCCAGGTGCAGGGGCGCAGCGTCACATTTGCACGCGCCCGGGGCCCTCCGCAGAGCGCACTCGCCTGAGGACACCCTGCCCCGCACCTCCATCACCCGCGGGCAGACTCAGGACATCACAGAGGCCACCTCCCATGGGCGTCACTGTGCTCCCTCCGCACCCGGTCCCTTTGCCCACTTCCCGCTCCCCGCAGCCAGTCCAGCCACACAGCAGGGTCCCTGCAGGCGCTCAGGCCAGCGCACACCTGGTCACACCTGGTCACACCCGGGCTCACACCTGGTCACACCTGGGCTGCCTCACGGCTCCCCCTGGGACCCGCCCCCCGGTCAGCTGGCCCGGCCTCAGGCTCACCCCGCTTCCACCAGCCTCTGGCCCCGGGGCCCCGTGCCTCTGGGTGCACGCTGCGTCCCCGTGTCCCTCCTCAGCTCAGCAGCCCCAGGCCCCGGAAGGCGCAGATCCCACCTCCCACCGCTGCGCCCACGGCCTCCCTGCCCTGCGGCCCTCCCCTCTGCTTCCTGCGCTCTGGCTGCCGGCCCTTCCCCAGGCACGGCCTGCTCTGCAGTCTTTGCTCGGAAGGCTTGGGGGCCCCTTCTCAGGGCAGCTTCCCTCCTTCCTCTGTCCCCACCCCTCGTGCGGCCTCCCCTCCACCACTGGCTCTCCGGGGAGGATCACGGGCCAGCACACCTGTGCCCCAGCCCGCGGGCATGCGCCCCGGAGGGCAGGGCCCTCCCAGAGCAGGCCCCGCGCCCGCAGGTGTGCAGCCGGTGTGTGCTGAGTGAGCGAGCGAGCGAGCGAGCGAGTGAACGAAGGATCTGCCTGTCGGTCCAGAGGCTCCGTGAGCAGACTCGCTGGGGACGGAGCCAGGAGCCGCCTGCCAGGTGCCCCCAGAGGCCGCCCTGGCCCGCAGAGCCCCCGCTCCTGTCAGCCAGAACACCACCCACCGCTGCTTGTTTTCAGAGCAAATGAGGAAATGGCAATTCGGCCAGAGACCGCCGTGCAGGCCCCAGGCGGATGCCTGCTCAGTGACCCCGCGACCTGACGGCAGGAAGAGCAGCTCCGCCATGGGACCCGCACAGGAGACCCACCACCTTGACCTTGACCATAAAGGTCACAGGGATAGACAGGAGCCAGGAGGGGGGAAGGGAGGGAGGAGAGTGGGAAAATGGAGGCAAAGCCCAGGAGGTGTCTGGACCAGGATGTCCCCTCCCCCGCTCTGTACCCCACCCCCTCAGACTCACAGACACCAGGTCCCCAGCCCTCCCACTGCGTGCGGAGGAGGCAGCCTCCCATTGCTGCACCGGGGACACACACACACACACACACACACACACACACTTCCCCTTCGCTCACTGCCTCCCCGCCCTCCCTTCCTGGGGTCACACCCACCCTGCAGAGCCCTGAGCCTTCTGGACGGCCTCGGCTCCATACATGGCACCCGGGGCAGAGCGATGGGGACACACACACAGACATGTCCCCCGAGGCCCCTCCTGCCTCCCCCTCCGCCTCCTCCGAGAGCTCTGCGGGGCCGGCCGGGTTTGAGGACTGTCTGATTGCTCACCAGCAGCACCCTCCCCAGCCCAGGCCCCCCAGGTGGGGCCCCTGTCCCTCCGGCCCGCTGGGCCGCTCACCTTCCTCTGGCTCCGCGGAGAAGCTGCCCATGGCTGTGAGAGAGGGAGGGGCGGGGCGGGGGGGGTAAGGGGTGGGCTGGCTGGCTGGCCTTTGCCTCTGCGCCCTGTGCTCCGGGGGCCATGCCTGCGGTCCCCCCTCTCCGTGTCCCAGCACCCCCCTCAGGGCGGGCCCCTCCCACGACGGCCCCAAGGCTCACCCAGCGCGGACACACAGAGCAGCAGCGGGAGCCTCATGCCGTCTGTGGGTGCAGGGCCTCCGCCACCCGGGCTCCCAGGATGCTCGCTGGGAGGTACCTGCGTTGGGGAGATAACCGAGGCCCTGGGGCCCTGCACCAGGGCTGGGCCCCGACAGCAGCCTCCACCACACCCCGCAGGGCACGGCCGCAGCCGCGGTGCTGGCCGGCAGGTGCGGCCTGAGCCCCGGATGGGCCTCAGCCGTTCCCAGGATGAGGCTTCAGGCGCTTCCTCTGAGGAGTGGAGGTGGGCGTCAGCCTGAATTACTGGGGGGCCTGGTGTGACCCTGAGGGCCCCCGGGCATCTGACACAGGCTGCACCCACCAGAGAGGCAGGCAGGAGGGGCGCTGCCACCACGGCACCGGGTTCCCTCAGGAGCACCTTCAGCCCTGAAACGTGGCCTCAGGCTGGGTGAACCCCCCACCCCCCAAGGAGCTGGGCTGGAGCCCCCCCATGAGCTGGGGCGGCGGGGGGGGGGGCGCACTCCCAAGAAGAGCAGGAGCCCTGGGAAACTGAGTAACGGACACGGAACCCTCACAGGCCCTCCCAGGTGGCCAGGCCCAGGCTCCCGGCTCCCCCAGACTCCCAGCTCCCCCAGGCCTCCCGGCTCCCCCAGACTCCCAGCTCCCCCAGGCCTCCCGGCTCCCCCAGACTCCCGGCTCCCCCAGACTTCCTCCCGGCTCCCCCAGACTCCCGGCTCCCCCAGGCTCCCGGCTCACCCAGACTCCGGGCTCCCCCAGGCTCCGGGCTCCCCCAGGCTCCGGGCTCCCCCAGACCCCGGCTTCCCCAGGCTCCGGGCTCCCCCAGACCCCGGCTCCCCCAGGCTCCGGGCTCCCCTAGACTCCCAGCTCCCCCAGGCTCCCGGCTCCCCCAGGCTCCGGGCTCCCCCAGGCTCCCGGCTCCCCCAGACTCCGGCTCCGGAGCCTCCTCCCGCCTGGCTGGCTCTCAGGGAGGGGGGCTCCCGCAGGGACAGGGATGGTAAGTGTGGGACCTCCATGGCTCAAAGCTGAGCTCCCTCAGCACCACCATCGCCCAGGGGCTCACCCACTGGGCCCCGCCCTTACAGCGCGTGCGCGCGCTCTCTCTCTCTCTCTCTCTCTCTCTCTCTCTCTCTCTCTCTCTCTCTCTCTCTATTTATTTTAGAGAGAAAGGTAGGGGGAGAGAGAAAAACACCCATGATGAGAGAGAATCATGGATGGGCTGCCTCCTGCATGTGCCCCACTGGGGTCAGAGCCTGTAACCCGGGCCTGTGCCCTGACTGGGATCCAACCATGACTTCCTGGCCACAGGTCAACGCTCCAGCGCAGAGCCTGAGAATTCGCATTTCTAGCCAGTCCCCAGCGATGCTGAGGCTGCGGCTGGGAGCCACAGCTGGGCCCCCAGATGCTCAGGAGCTTGTGTCACAGTCACATGGGCCAGGCCGGGCCTCGCAGACTGAGCCGCATTGTTCCCTGGCACGCTCTCTGCCCGGCACCTGCCCACAGCCACGGTCCCGTGAGGCTGGGTGAGGGGGGGTGGAGGCCAGAGGCAGAGCCAGCGCCTTAATGCGTGCGGGAAGCCTGCGCCTGAGGCACCCAGGCCTGGAACCCGGCCGGCGGGCCCCTGGGTCTCTCCGGACCTCCCCTCCTGGGGGTCCGGGGCCAGTGGTGTCCCCCTGGGGGAAGTGCCCTGGCTGGGGAGGTCACCGGGCTGCTGGCTGCGCCTGGGCCCGCAGGTCACCGCACAGGCTGGCATCTCGAGCGTTCTGGCAGCTGAGTCGTGGACTTAGAGCTGTTGCAGCCTCCGGCTTTGAAAAAGAAGCTTCCAGAGACTCAGGAGTCACAAACCCGCATCCCAATGCCGGGCGGGCCCTGGAGGGCCCTCTTCACCCGCCATTTCCGTAGGTCAGCTCTACGGGGCGCAGGGGGGAGCAGGTGCGCCCAGGACAGGCAGGGTCCTGAGGATCCCGTCACTGAGGGGTCGCCCACAGAGAAGGCAGACGGTGGGGACGGCGAGGGAGAGGCCGCCCTGGGAGCCTTGGGGAGGGGGGAGGGGGGAAATGACGGCTGGGTCGCTCGCTGGGGGGTCTGGCTCAGGGTTCGGGGCTGTGTGCCCTGCGGGGTGCTCTGGCTGCCAGCCTGATTCCCCATGGGCGGGGGGGCCTCACATTTTACCACGCTGCTTCCCGAGGCAGACAGCTCCCGAGCCCTCCCCGTGGGTATTTATGACTGTATTCATGGTTATTATACCAACATATTATGTTTTAATCACAAAACAGCCAACGAAATACAAAACTTAAAGAAATAAGAAAAACACAAGCTATACAAAGAAATTAAAAAAACAGACCATAAACACAAGCTTCCATTTTTCTTCCTGCCCCCTGGGGTGTGTGTGAACCTGCTTTGGGGCGTCACCGGGGAGCAGGGCGTGGGGTCCGAGGGACTCTGGGGGGCGGTGGGGACTCTGGGGCGGCGGGGAGGCTCCAGACAGAGGGGGTTGGGGGGGGGGGGTGGGGATGGGGCGGGGGGGGGGGGTGGGGCGGGGGGGGGGGGGGGGGCTGGGCCGTACAGCTCCGAGCTGCTGGGGAAGCGGAACCTACAGGCGGGATCCGCGGGGGAGGGGGCGGGCCTGGGGGGCCTGAGGGCCTGGGGGGACCTGGGCCCCGGGGAGCCCGGGCAGGGGAATCCGGGGCACAAGGACTGCGGGCGCGAAGACGGAGAGCGAGGGGATGTGGGCCCCGGGGAGTCAGCGAGGCCCGGCTCTGGCAGCAGCCGGGACAAGTCCTCCACCAGGTGCCACTTCTCCTGCACCTGCTGCGGAGCGCCGGCCGGTTACAAAGGCGCACCCCCTCCCCCCCAGCGCCCCGGCCCGCAGCCCCCCCGAGCCGCCCCCCGCCCCCTGCCCCGCCCCCCGGCGCCGCTCCCCCCGCCCCCCGGCGCCGCCCCTCCCGTCCCCCGGTAGCCCGCCCCCCCGCCCCGCCCCCGCCCCCGGCCCCGCCCCCCGCTCCCCGGCCCCCCAGGCCCCGCCCCCCCGCCCCCCCCGGCCCCCCGGCGCCGCCCCCCCCGACCCCGCACCCCGGAGCCGCCCCCGCCCCCGCCCCCCCGAGCCCCCCCCAGCATCCAGGCCGGAAGCCGCCAGCCAGCCTCCCCGCGGCACGGCCCGCCGGAGGTCCCGCCCCCAGCACAAGCCACGTCCCCAGCCCCGCCTCCCCGAGCGAGGCCACGCCCCTATCGCCCGGTTCCGGTCCTAGACCACGCCCCCAGTAGCCCCCGGCCCCGCCCTCGGCCGCCCTCCTGTCAGACCCGGTCTCCAAGGCCGGGGCCACGTTCCCCGCCTCCACGGTCCCACTCCCAGCCCGGACCGCACTCCTCCCCTGGGTCCCCGCTCTCACTCACCCACACCAGCTGCTTCCGCAGCCCCTGGATGGCCCTGGCGTTGGCCTGGGACTGGGAGACGCACACGGTCAGGACGAGGCTTTGGATGGAGGGGTCCAGGTCAGTCACCCCATACCTCCTCCTCCCCTCCCGGGTCTGCAGACCCGGCTTCCCCTCCTCCCACCGGCCCTCAGGCCTCGGCCGGGACAACGGCCATAGCCTCGCCAGTGTCCAGCACCTGCGTCCGGCACTGGCCGCCCGGCCAGGGAGGGGCTGGTGCAGGTGAGCCCCAGGGCTGCCAGGCTGACCTCGGCACAGGAGGACCCCGGGCCCTGCCTCCCGGGCACCCCGTGTCCGGCTCCCGCGGGGCTGGCTGGGTGCCATGGAAGGACCCCCTCCCGGGCCTCGCTCGGACCCCGCTCCCCAGGGTACCTGAGCAGGATGAGGAGGGGGAAGCTGAACGCCTGGGAGCCCAGGTAGCCGAGGGCCTGCTGTCCGGGGGGCGGCAGCCGGAGCGCCGCCAGCTCCAGCACCACCTGCCAGGGCGCCGAGTAGTTGGCGAAGAGGCCGCAGCCCCGGGAGGAGTGGATGCTGCGGAGAGACCAGCGTCAGGGCCGCCCCCACCCCGAGCTGCCGTCCACCCCGCAACCTCCGCCCGCCCCCAGCCTCCCCTACCCCCAGCCTCCCCTTGCCCCAGCCTCCCCTCCCCCCTGCCTCCCCCTGCCCCCAGCCTCCCCTCCCCCCAGCCTCCCCCCGCCCATCAGCCCTCCCCCCGCCCCTCAGCCTCCCCCCGCCCCACCTCCCTTCCCCCCAAGCCTCCCTTCCCCCTCTGCCTCCTCCTCCTGCCCCCAGCCTTCCCCTCCCCCCCTCCCCCCTGACTCCTCCCCTGCCCCCCAGCGTCCCCCCGCCCCCCTCCCCCCCTCCCCCCGCTCCCCTCCCCCAGCCTCCCGCACCCCTCAGCCTCCCCCCGCCCCCAGCCTCCCTTCCCCCCAGCCTCCCCTCCCCCCTGTCCCCCCCCCCCCCCCCCCCCCCCCCCCTCCCCGCCCCCAGCCCCCCTCCGTCCCCCCTGCCTCCCCCTGCCCCCAGCCTCCCCCCCCCCCTGCCCCTCCCCCCAGCCCTCCCCTCACCCCCAGCCTCCCCTCCCCCCTCAGCCTCTCCCCTCCCCAAGCCTCCCCTTCCCCCCAGCCTCCCCCAACCCTCAGCCTCCCCCCACCCCCAGCCTCCCTCCCCCCCAGCCTCCCCTCCCCCCAGCCTCCCCCACCCCTCAGCCTCCCCCCACCCCCAGCCTCCCCTCGCCCCAGCCTCCCCTCCCCCCAGCCTCCCCCACCCCTCAGCCTCCCCCCGCCCCCAGCCTCCCCTCGCCCCAGCCTCCCCCACCCCTCAGCCTCCCCCCGCCCCCAGCCTCCCCTCCCCCCCGCCTCCCCCCACCCCCAGCCTCCCCTCCCCCCCCGCCTCCCCCCGCCCCTCGGCCTTCGCCCACCCGCCTCCGCCCTCGGCCCGCACCTGCTGACCACGTAGGCCAGCGGCAGGGCGGCCAGCAGCAGGCCCAGCACCAGCACCAGCTGGAAGAAGAAGGTGGAGCTGGAGGCTCGGAACCTCCGCAGGGACGCCTTGCAGTTCCTCAGGAGCGTGTACTGGGGGCAAGCACCCGGGGGCGTCAGGGAGCGGGCGGGACGGGGGAGCAGAGGCAGGGGGAGCCCCCAGGGTGCCGCCGGGCTCCCCGTCCCCCGCCCGCCCCGAGGCGCACCTTCTTGATGTGGAAGGTGAGCGCCAGGAAGACGCTGTGCAGCAGGGGCAGCAGCGGGCAGTAGAAGAGGCCCATCCAGACGACCGTCTGCCCCGCCACCACGTCCAGCACGTTCGTGGGCACCAGGAACTGCTCCCGGCCCAGCCAGGCCCAGAACCGGCCCCGGAGCCGCTCCGCCAGCACCCTGGGCACCGGGGCCGCTCACCACCGGAGCGGGCGGCCCCAGACCGTCCCACACGGCCACACGGCCACACGGACACACACGCAGAACCGCCGCCAACGGACACACACGCAGAACCGCCGCCAACGGACACACACGCAGAACTGCAGCCACGGGGACACACACGCAGAACCGCCGCCAACGGACACACACGCAGAACCGCCGCCAACGGACACACACGCAGAACTGCAGCCACGGGGACACACACACACACACACACACACGCAGAACTGCCCTCCCGGCTGCAGCCAAGGGCCACCCCAGACACGCCCGGTCCCTCCCCGGATGGGGTCCGCACTCGGCTCACCGCCTGGGTAGGGTGACCAGGAAGGCGAAGGCCACGGTGAGCAGGAAGTTGAAGGTGCTCAGCTTGTACAGCTCCTCGCCCACCGAGTTCTCCCAACACTGGGCAGAGGGGTTCTGGTCACCCCCCGGGGCAGCCCCCACTCACCCACCCACCTGGGGGCACCCTGTGGACGGGAGCCTTGCCCGGAGGCTGGAGGGACTGCTGGCAGAGCCCCGCCCCCAGGGTAAGGCACGCAGGCAAACCCGACCCCCGGGCTGCCACCCTGCACTGTGCCGTGCGGTGCAAACAGCACCCCCTGGAGGTGGGCCCAGGTACGGGAGCTCTACCCCCTGCCTCTGGCAAAGGGGAGACCTGGAGGAGCCAGGAGGTCAGAGGGGCGGGAGGTCAGAGGTGGGAATGCCCACAGGGACAGCCACCTGGTAGTCACAGGCGTTGTAGCCGTGGGACTCACAGCTGGTCCTGTTGCGGCCGAGGCACAGCACGGTCTGGCCCAGCGAGAAGGAGAACATGCCCAGGCTGGCCAGCTTCAGCACCACGCACCTGCGGGCGGGCGGGCAGGCCGGGGCCCGGTGTGGGTGTGGCTGCTACCCTCCGAGCCCAGCCTCCTTCCCACCCGCCCGGGCCGCGGCCACGGTCCCCAAAGTGTGTTCCCCGGCACGCTGGCCTCCGGATGGTTCACAGGAGAAGGGTTCTGTTTGTCCATCAGTTTGGGAAACACTGCACGGCCCGGCTGTCCTTCCCCGACACCCGGCTGGGAGACGCACTGCCCAGATGGGCCTTTCCATCCTTATTGATGGCAGGGGAGACGTCCCTCGGCCCGCTAACACCCGCCCCCTCACTGCCTGCGGTGTCCACACACGTGTGTGCTATGGCGAGCTTGCCCTTGGCCAGCGCGCTTGTTCCCTGTGAATCGCGTGTCCTCCTCGTCCAAAGGGGATGGATGAGGAGGCTCTGGCTTCACAGGTCACGTGGGGGTTGCCGAGGGAAGGTTTGTAGGCCCCCGGGCGCCCCAGAACTGTGTGCGCCCCATGTTCCTGGTTTCCCTACGTGTGTGACGCTGGTTCATTCCCAGCTCCCGCTGGCTCACCGGCCGCGGAGCCCTCGGCGTGGCTGGTGCCTGGCCCAGCCCGCTGTCCGGCTCTGGGCAGAGGGGACGTCCCAGCAGGCTCCCGGGCACGGCGTGTTCTGAAAGCACCTTTCTGCCTGCCCTGCTTGGGGCCCTGGTGCCAGGAGACCACCAGGTGGGGCAGCTGCTCCCGGGCCTCAGCGCCCCGCCTGCCCCGGGTCCCGCCTGGCACCAGGGCGGCGCTCACCAGAGGAGGATGAGGTTGACCTCGGTGTTGGGCGGGTAGCTCTCCAGCTGCACCAGGAACACGAACAGCAGGGGGCCCAGGAAGTTGACCAGGGCGATGACCCCGGGGGGCAGGTACTGGAGCAGCACAAACAGGGTCTCCTGCGGGGAAACGGAGGGGTGCCATGGGCTGGGTGCGGTAGCTCCCCTCCCCGACTCCCCTGCAGGGTAACTCTGGGGCAGGCAGGCCCCGCGTCTGGAAGGCCCGGGCGAGGCCTGCCCACAGGGAGAGCCAGGCTGATGGGCCCTGACTGGGCACACTGCTTTAACCACCCTGAGCCTCAGCTTCCTCCTGTGCCACCTCCCAGCCTGGCCAGCGCCCCGCACCTCCTTGTTGTCCTGCGAGTACTTGGTGGCCCAGAAGATGGCGCTGATGGCTCCGACCACCAGCAGCCCGAAGAGCACGTTGACCCGCAGGTGGGAGAGCAGGTGGCAGGCGCGCTGGGCCCGCGTCCGCTGCTGCGCCAGCTGGAAGCGATGGCCCTCCTCCAGCTCCACCTGCGCGGGCGAAGCAGAGGCGGGTGGCGCCAGGGTCTCGGCAGGCCTGGGGTGACCCTGGGGCAGGGCAGGCCCAGGAGTGGCAGCTGCTTTTACCTCCCTCCTGCACTGCAGGCGAGCAGGTGAGCTCGCACACCTACACCCGCCCAGCCTCTGCCACCTGGTGCAACACATGTGTACGCATGCACATACTCGACACACATACATGCACTCGTATACATATCACATGCCCTCTCTCTCTCTTACACACACACATGTTCACACGTGCATGCACACATGCCCCAACACACATGCCCCCAACATGCTCACACACACACATGCCCCACACACATGCCCCCAAACACACACACACACACACACACACGCACCTTGAGCTCGTTGCTGATCTCATGCTGCTTGATGGTGGCCGCCTCCAGGCCCCGGATGCAGAAGTCCCAGGAGGAGAAGACCTTGGTGCTGAGCGGCGCCCGGTACTCCTGGCCCAGGAACAGCTTCTGGGGCAGCTCCCTCACCATCCTGCAGGGCAGGAGCAGGCCTGTGGGAGGGCGCCTCCGCCTGCCAGCCTGGGCCCAGCTCTGGTCTGGGTGGGGGAGGGGGCCCAGAGGCAGTGGCCCGGGGCCCTGAGGGCTGCAGCCGGACCGGAGATTGTCCCCAGGAAGCACCTATGCGCCTTACTGGGCGAGAGCCAGGACCCTGCTGCCAGCTTGGGCGGGCCTGTGCCCAGGGCGGGGGGGCTGTGCCCAGGGCGGGGGGGGCCTGTGCCCAGGGCGGGGGGGGCTGTGCCCAGGGCGGGGGGGCCTGTGCCCAGGGCAGGGGGGGGCTGTGCCCAGAGCGGGGGGGGGCTGTGCCCAGGGCAGGGGGTGGGGGGCTGTGCCCAGGGTGGGGGGGGCTGTGCTCAGGGCGGTGGGCGGGCCTGTGCCCAGGGCGGGGGGGCTGTGCCCAGGGCAGGGGGTTGGGGGGGGCTGTGCCCAGGGCGGGGGTGGGCCGTGCCCAGGGCTGGGGGTGGGGGGCTGTGCCCAGGGCAGGGGGGGGGGCCTGTGCCCGGGGCAGGGGGTTGGGGGGGCTGTGCCCAGGGCGGGGGGGTGGGGGGGCTGTGCCCGGGGTGGGGGGGGCTGTGCCCGGGGCAGGGGGTGGGGGGGGCTGTGCCCAGGGCAGGGGGGGGCCTGTGCCCGGGGCAGGGGGTTGGGGGGGCTGTGCCCAGGGCGGGGGGGGGGGGGGGCTGTGCCCAGGGCGGGGGGGTGGGGGGGCTGTGCCCGGGGTGGGGGGGGCTGTGCCCGGGGCGGGGGGCTGTGCCCAGGGCAGGGGGTGGGGGGGGCTGTGCCCAGGGCAGGGGGGGGCCTGTGCCTGGGGCAGGGGGTTGGGGGGCTGTGCCCGGGGCGGGGGGGTGGGGGGCTGTGCCCGGGGTGGGGGGGGCTGTGCCCGGGGCGGGGGGCTGTGCCCAGGGCAGGGGGTTGGGGGGGCTGTGCCCAGGGCGGGGGGTGGGGGGGCTGTGCCCGGGGCGGGGGCGGGGACCAGCCTGTCTGTAGGGTGCGAGCAGGCCGCTCACCGCCGCAGGGTCCCGCAGAAGCAGAGCAGCAGGCAGGCCAGCGGGCTCAGCAGGTAGGCCAGGCGGATGCTGTAGGCGGAGCTGCCCTCCGGCTCCGCCCGGTAGGCGCCGTAGAAGAGGTAGGTGTTGCTGAAGGCCTGGGACATGGGGAGGACCGTGGGGAGGACCATGAGCATCAGTCCCTGTGGCTGGGAGCTGAGTGCTCGCTGACTCACAGTAACCCCGTCAGGGAGGGGCCTGGGGGGCGGGGGCAGGGCGGTGGGGACGGACACGCTCCCTCCTGAGGCTCCGAGGCCGCTCGGCGCTGAGGCAGAGAAAGGCCGTGTGGCTCTGGGGACGAGGGCCGGGGGTGCTCATCTCAGAAGCCTGCCCGCGTGTCCCTCCCACTCCATGCAGCTGGGCCCAGCGCTGTGGGCACTCTTCCCGGCCTGGCTGGTGCCCGGCGGCCTCAGCTCTCTCTGACCCCACCCCTGGCCTGGCCAGTCTGTCTACGGAAGGCCATCCCCCCGAGAGCCAAAATGCCGCACAGCCAGCGTGGCTCAGCGGCTGAGCCTCCGCCTGGGAACCAGGAGGTCACGGTCAGTTCCCGGTCAGGGCACAGGCCCGGGTTGCGGGCTCGATCCCCAGGGTGGGGCGTGCAGGAGGCAGCCGACCGGTGATTCTCATCATTGACGTTTCTCTCTCCCTCTGCCTTCCTCTCTGAAACCAACGAGCAAATGAACAAACAAGGAAAAGCCACAGGTGCTGGAGAGAGGGTCACTCAGGGGTCCACTCCACCAGAGCGGTCGCAGGACGGAGCACTCACCCTGCCCGTGAGCACATTCCAGAGTCGGGAGTGGAAATTGGGAGCGGCGGGCGGGGGCTGGGGGCCACCAGGGCACTGGAGGGCTGCTGAGGAGGGAGAGGGCCAACAGCAAGGGGTCCCCAAGGCGTAAGGGAGGGTGTGCCCCGCCCACTCCTGGCCTCAGCCCCCGGGGATGGGGGGGCCCTTGCTGTGCAACAGGCCGGTCAGGAAGAGTCCTTGTGGACCCAGGGAGAGGGACCCCCAGAGACCCCGAGGGTGGGGCTGTCCCAACACTCCGAGACCGGGACCAGCCCAGTGCCTGGCCCCCGGGGTGCGGGCCCCGGGGTGCTGTTCCCGGGGTGCAGGCCCCAGGGTGCGCCCGGCACTCACTGAGGTTGAGGACGGGGCCTGGGCCCGGCGGGCGGAGCCAGACCAGGGGCAGCAGCACGAAGCCGGCGGTCAGAAGCACGGTCAGCAGGTTGAGCATCAGCAGGAAGCGGAGGAAGGTGAAGTAGGACTGGATCCCGGTGCCAAACAGGCCTGGGAGGGCAGCGGGCGGGCAGGGGCACTGAGCCAGGCTCAGCGGGGCCCAGCGCCCTGCAACCGGCAGTCCCTCTGATGTCCACCAGGGGGTGCTGCCGCCCACCAGGGTTGGGCCCCAACTCAGGAGGGGTGAGGAGGGTGAGGGGGGGGAGGGGGGTGGGGGGGGTGAGGAGGGTGAGGGGGGTGAGGAGGGTGAGGGGGGTGAGGAGGGTGAGGAGGTGAGGAGGGTGAGGGGGGTGAAGAGGGTGAGGAGGGTGAGGAGGGTGAGGGGGGTGAGGGGGGGTGAGGGGGGTGAGGATGGTGGAGGGGGTGAGGGGGGTGGGGGGGGTGAGGGGGGGTGAGGGGGGTGAGGGGGGTGAGGGGGGTGAGGGGGGTGAGGGGGTGAGGGGGGTGAGGGGGTGAGGGGGGTGAGGAGGGTGAGGAGGGTGAGGAGGGTGAGGATGGTGAGGAGGGTGAGGAGGGTGAGGAGGGTGAGGGGGGTGAGGAGGGTGAGGAGGGGGAGGGGGGGTGAAGGGGGGGTGAGGGGGTGAGGGGGGTGAGGGGGGGTGAGGGGGGGTGAGGGGGGTGAGGGGGGGTGAGGGGGGTGAGGGGGGTGAGGGGGGGTTGAGGGGGGCGAGGGGGGCGAGGGGGGCGAGGGGGGTGAGGAGGGGTGAGGACGGCGGGCTGGCTGGAGGGGGCCGAGGGGAGCAGTGGACACAGACTCCAGGCGGGGAGGCGGGGGGGGGGCTCTCACCCCCGATCTCGTAGAGCGCCCCCTCCCAGAGCCCGAAGCCCTGGGCCAGCCTCCGCGCTGCCCCCTGCAGGCGCCGCCCCGCGGCCGCCCACCGCCGCCGCCACCGCTGCCAGCAGGAGGCCTCGGCCCCCTCGGGCTCCCACAGCTGCCTGGATGGGGGTGACGGGGCACCCTCAGTCCACCGTGCCACCCGGGGGCAGAACCAGGCGACTCCCACCCCACCCTCCACCCCACCTCAGCCTGGGCTGTGCCTGCCCCGCACCCCGGGCACCCGGGCACCCCCAGGCTGTGCCCTCCCTGACCCCGCACCCCCCGGGCACCCCCCGGGCTGTGCCCTCCCTGACCCCGCACCCCCGGGCACCCCCCGGGCTGTGCCCTCCCTGACCCCGCACCCCCGGGCACCCCCCAGGCTGTGCCCTCCCTGACCCCGCACCCCCGGGCACCCCCGGGCTGTGCCTGCCCCGCACCCCCGGGCACCCCCCGGGCTGTGCCCTTCCTGACCCCGCACCCCCGGGCACCCCCCGGGCTGTGCCCTCCCTGACCCCGCACCCCCGGGCACCCCCCGGGCTGTGCCTGACCCGCACCCCCGGGCACCCACCAGGCTGTGCCCTCCCTGACCCCGCACCCCCGGGCACCCCCGGGCTGTGCCCTCCCTGACCCCGCACCCCCGGGCACCCCCCGGGCTGTGCCCTCCCTGACCCCGCACCCCCGGGCACCCCCCGGGCTGTGCCTGACCCGCACCCCCGGGCACCCACCAGGCTGTGCCCTCCCTGACCCCGCACCCCCGGGCACCCCCGGGCTGTGCCCTCCCTGACCCCGCACCCCCGGGCACCCCCGGGCTGTGCCCTCCCTGACCCCGCACCCCCGGGCACCCCCGGGCTGTGCCCTCCCTGACCCCGCACCCCCGGGCACCCCCCGGGCTGTGCCCTCCCTGACCCCGCACCCCCGGGCACCCCCCGGGCTGTGCCCTCCCTGACCCCGCACCCCCGGGCACCCCCCGGGCTGTGCACCCGGGCACCCACCGGAGGAAGCGCCGGTCCGCCATGGCGTAGGGCAGTGAGCGCAGGGGTGCCCAGGAGGAGCACAGCCGCTCCACCTCCGGCTCCCACAGCTCCTCCGCCCCCGGCTCCGGCTCCCGCTGCACGGACCCCATCCGCTGCATCTCGCCGTCTGTGGGAGGAAGGCAGGACGTGCTGGGGAGCACCCGGTCCCCCCTCCCCGTCCCCGTCCCAACGGCCGACCCCACGGGAGAGCCCGGTCCGAAGGCGGCCAGGACCCGAAGCCGGGTGGGCCAGGCCCACCCCCCCACACCTCCCCCCGCCCCCATCTCAGCCCCATCCCGGCCCCCGGCCCCCGGCCCCCATCCCGGCCCCTGGCCCCCATCCCGGCCCCCGGCCCCCATCCCGGCCCCCGGCCCCCGGCCCCCATCCCGGCCCCCAGCCTCCACAGCTGACTCCCCCGGGAGCCGGCCGGTCCCCAGACCCCCTCCAAGCAAACGGGGACCCGCCCCCAAGGAGGAGGCGCAGCTACCGGCCATCGGTGGGTGCCCCATGGGGCAGAGGGGCCTGCCAGGCCGGCGCAGTGGCCCCGACTCGGACCCCCGCCCAGCAGCCCCGGGCCTTAGCCCTCAGCCCCCCCCCCCCCGCACTCCCCTCCCCGCACACCTGGGCCCGGACCCGGACCCTCTCCCCCGCGGGACCGCGGCCCGCAGAGGGCGGTCACATGACAGGAACCCCGCTCCCGGCTCCCCTCTGTCCCCCCGCCCGCCCTACCTCCGTTTCCTCTGCTCCCCCGGGCGGGCGGCTTCCTGCGGCCGGGGGCGCTCCCCTCCCCCGCGGTGCCCGCAGCCCCCCAACCCGGGCCCACTCCCCCGGCTGCGCCTTCCCGGCCCCCAGGGCGAGAGACAGGTCAGAGCCCGCTCCCCCGGCCCCGGCCTCTCCCCCAGCCTCTGCCCCAGCCCCGGCCCCGGCCCCAGCCCGCTCCCCCAGCCCCAGCCTCTCCCCCAGCCCGCTCCCCCGGCCCCAGCCCGCTCCCCCGGCCCCAGCCCGCTCCCCGGCCCCGGCCCGCTCCCCCGGCCCCGGCCCGCTCCCCCGGCCCCGGCCCGCTCCCCCGGCCCCGGCCCGCTCCCCCGGCCCCAGCCCGCTCCCCCGGCCCGCTCCCCCTGCCCCGGCCCGCTCCCCCTGCCCGGCCCGCTCCCCCGGCCCGCTCCCCCGGCCCCAGCCCCCAGCCCGCTCCCCCGGCCCCGGCCCCGGCCCCGGCCTCGGCCTGCTCCCCCAGCCCGCTCCCCCAGCCCAGCCTCTCCCCCAGCCCGCTCCCCCGGCCCCGGCCCCGGCCCCAGCCCGCTCCCCCGGCCCCAGCCTCTCCCCCAGCCCGCTTCCCCGGCCCCGGCCCCGGCCCCAGCCCGCTCCCCCGGCCCCAGCCTCTCCCCCAGCCCGCTCCCCCGGCCCCGGCCCCAGCCCGCTCCCCCGGCCCCGGCCTCTCCCCCAGCCCGCTCCCCCGGCCCCGGCCTCTCCCCCAGCCCGCTCCCCCGGCCCCGGCCTCTCCCCCAGCCCGCTCCCCCGGCCCCAGCCTCTCCCCAGCCCGCTCCCCCGGCCCCGGCCTCTCCCCCAGCCCGCTCCCCCGGCCCCAGCCTCTCCCCCAGCCCGCTCCCCCGGCCCCGGCCCCAGCCCGCTCCCCCGGCCCCGGCCTCTCCCCCAGCCCGCTCCCCCGGCCCCGGCCTCTCCCCCAGCCCGCTCCCCCGGCCCCGGCCTCTCCCCCAGCCCGCTCCCCCGGCCCCGGCCTCTCCCCCAGCCCGCTCCCCCGGCCCCAGCCCGCTCCCCCGGCCCCGGCCTCGGCCTGCTCCCTCTGGCGGGGGAGCGGAGCCTGGCCCCTGCGGTGAGGGTGGTGGTGAGGAGTGGGTGGGGGTGGCGGGGCCCAGCGGCCCTCGGAGGGCGGGAGGGTGACTTGGGGCGGCGTGTTAACTCCACCTGGTGGCTGCGCTGGGGGGACCCCGTCCGTGCCGCCCCCGGAAGGGGTGAGAGTCACCGGCCGTCTCTCTCCTGGGACCCCAGGCCTGGGGTCCTGCCCCTCCCTGCCCCCCTCCCTCCCCTGTGGCTCTCCTGCCTCCGGCCGTGTCCGTCCCGGTGGGACGGGGAGCAGGGAGCGTGCGGACAGACGGGCAGGGGTCCCACTGGGCCCAGCCCAGGAGGGCTCCCCGGAGGCGGCGGCCTTCTAGGTGAGGTCCTGCAGGTCCCAGAAGGCAGGGGCTCGGCCCGCAGGGGTGGGGAGCAGTGGGAGGAGCGACGGGGCTCCACGCTGGGCTGCCCGGCGCCTAGATCCCGCCTAGCCCGCCGCCTGAGGCCCCGCTGACGGCTGTGTGACAGCCCCCGCCCCCCAGCGAGCTGCACTCGTGCTTCCTCTCCGGGCCTGGCCTTGTCCACCTGTCCCTCCCTCCGGGGGGCGCCCCGTGTCCTCCTCGGCTCCCTTCCTCCCGCCGCCCTCAGAGTTCTCGGACCTAACGCCCCCCCCCCGCCCCCCAGACCCCGCTCACCCCTCCTCTGGCCTCCTGCCGGGCGGCCTAAGGCCAGGCTGCTGGGCAGCGCCCCCGGCGGGCAGGACCCCGGCCTGGGGGGCGACACCCGGGGGCCGCTGAGCCCCTCTGCCTCAGTTTTCTCATCTGCGAACTGGGCGGCCTGTGCCGGGCCTGGCTCCTGCGGAGGAGCCGGAAGCCACGGGGACGGCCCCCTCCCCGGCAGCAACAGGAAGCGCCTCTGCTGTCTGGTCTGGCCGATCCCCGGGGCCACGCCCAGAGGGAGCTAACGGTCCCCGGGGCCTGAGTTAAAGGAAGGACTTGCCCAACCCGGTGTGGCAAGGCCTGGCCGGGTGCGGCTCCCGGTCCTGTTGTTCGTTCTGAGGCCCGGGGTGCGGCTCCAGGGCCCCTGTTGTTCGTTCTGATAAGCAGCCTGCCGGCCGGCGGGCCCTTATCGTCCCCAAACGTACCTCGCGTCCCACAGAACGCGGACGTGAGCCAGAGGTGGGGTTCGGTGTGGACACTGCCTTCCCCGGCCCAGCCCTCAGGGAGGGCGAGGGGGCCGAGCCGGGCGGAGAGGAGCGGACGGTGGGGTGGGTGCGCCCCAGGCCCGGCCCGGCCGTAGCCAGGGGCCTGCCTCCACGTGGGCAGAGCAGCTGTGGCCTCTGGCCCGGCCGCCCGGCCGCCCGGCCCCTCCGCCCCCTGACCGAGCCCCGCCCTCGGTGCCCAGCGGCTTTCCGGTTCGGTGCCTCCAGCCGCCTCCAGGTAAGAGCCCAGGTTGGGGGTTGGGGGTGGTGGCCTCCCCCAGCCCTAGGCCCCGTTCCTGGTGGCTGGGCGCCGCCCCGCCAGCCTCTGGGCCCCTGGGTGCGGGGCCGAGTTCCCTCTCCCATGTCCCGGGTTTGACGTGGGAGGGGTGGGGGCCGGACCGCAGCCCCGGAGGGTGAGATGGGCGGGGCGGGAGGCGGGTCCCTTGGGCAGAGGCCCGGCTGCGGCTGGTCCTGGGCATCGGCGTCAGGTATGGGCTGCCCTCCGTGGACTCGCTGCCTGACGGGCCCCACCCCGCCGCTCCCTGCCTGGCTCAGGGCTCAGGAATGGTGCACCCGGAAACTCCCCGGACCTGCCCGGCCTGAAGTGGGGTGCCAGCCAGTCAGTCCCGGGCAGTGCCCAGGGGCCCGGTGAGCCCCATCCCCCGGGGAAGTAGCTTCTCCACCTCCCCCCCTGCTCCCCCCACGCCCGCGCTGTCCTGTGGGGAGGGGGGTGGGGAGGCCCAGCGGAGCTGGGCTGGGAGGGTCTGGCTGAAGGACAGGGTGACCCGCCGTCTGTGCCCTCCACCCCTTTCCAGGCTGAGGTGGGGAGGGGCCGGGACTGTGTGGGTGCCTGGCACCCGGAGTGAGGACCCTGTGTGGGCACAGTGCCCGCAGGACCTGCTCTGCCTGGGCACCCGCCCCGTCCCAGGCAGTGCTCCGGGGGAGGGCTGGGGGCGGGGACAGGGGGACGAGGCGGGCAGACCCTGCGGAGGCAGCTGCGGAGCGCTGTGCCCGCCCCCCGCCCACAGGAACAGGGCCCGACAAGGCCTCCTGGTTCGTCAGCGGAGCCCTCCGCCCGGCGGCTGGACAAAGACAGCCTGTCCACCGCCCGGCCCTCCCCCGCCTGCTGCCCGGAGGCCTGCGCCTCCTGAGCTGTGCCTGCAGCCCTGCAGGGGTGGGGGGTGCCCGCTGTGTGTGTGGGGGCTGCTGGCTGGGTGGGTGGGGAGGAGGTGGCTCAGGCTGTTTTGCCCGGGCTGAGGGCTGAGGCGGGGTGGTGTGGGGCTGAGGCGGGCGGGGAGGGAGGGTTTCCTGTGACAGGAAGCAGCCGGGTTACGGGCGGGCACAGCGAAGGCCTCAGAGCTGCCTGAACTTCTCACCCCAGCGAGGTCCGCGCCCACGGCACCTCCCTTCCCACCCTCCTCCCTCCTTCACCGGCCCCGGAGGGGTCCCTCCGTCCACTCTGGGCTTGTTTGGGGCCTCTCACCTGACCACGTGCTTGGCGGTGGCCGGGGCCGGGCGGGGGTGCCTCCCACAGTCGCCGGGGGGCGGCCGGCTGGCGGGGGGCCAGGCCTGGAGGGCCGTGTGGGACCCGCTCCCTCCCCAGCAGATGGGCAGCAGGCGGCTCTGAGCAACTCCGGAGGCTGAGCCGGGCAGGCGTGGGCGGCAGGCATGGCCTTCGTCCTCCATGTCCCCCAGGCCCCCGAGGACCAGGGGTAAGTGCTTTGGGCTATGGGCTGGAGGGGCCGCCCAGGGAGACCTGCTCAGCCACCCCTCCCTCCTGTCTCCCCCCTCCCCTCCCCTCCCCTCCCCAGCAGCCGGGAGCCCAGCCCCTGCGAGGAGAGCGAGGAGAGCGAGCTGCACTTCTCCTTCCACCAGCTCATCCAGGAGCAGAGCCGGGGGCCCGGGGAGGACCGGCTGGAGCTGCCGCCCCGGGCGCCGGGGCCCGGAGCCGCGGGCGCCGCGGGTGAGCCGGCCCGGCCGGGCCTGGAGGCCGGGGGCTGGGGTTGGTGGGAGGTGGCCGAGCTCTGGACGCGGCTCTCTGCCCCACAGCCAGCCACCACCAGGCCCTGCAGGCGCCCGAGCCCGCCGCCCACAGCCCGGCCACGCTCCGCATCCTGGCCAGCATGCCCAGCCGCACCATCGGTGAGCGGCCACCACTCTGCCTGCGCCCGCCGGCCGGCAGCCCCTGGCCGGTGGCTGTCAGGGCACCTGTGTCCACGGAGCCCCCCTCCCCCTCCTGCCCGCTGCCCCGAGCCCGGCCGGCCGGCAGCCCCCGGCGTCACCGGGATAAAAATAGGCGCCTGGGAACCGGGCAGCGAGGGCGGGGCGGGCGGCCCGGGCGGGCGGGCAGGGAGGCCGCCGGCCGCTGACGCCCTGATGCCCGGTGCCCGCAGGCCGCAGCCGCGGCGCCATCATCTCGCAGTTCTACAACCGCACGGTGCGGCTACGGCGCCGGGACAGCCGGCCGGCGCTCCGGGGCCTGGGGCGCTCGGCCCGGCCCAGCCTCCGCCTGTACGACCTGGAGCTGGACGCCACGGCCCTCGCCGAGGAGGGTGAGTGGCCGGCCGGCGGGGGCCCAGGCCACTGGGGACCTGGCCGAGGTGGTGGGGGCCGGGAGGAGAGGGGGTCCAGGAGCCGGGCACTGGGAGGAGGCGGGGAACTTAGGGGGGGCTCAGGGTGTGTGTGGGGGACATGGCCGAGACAGAGACCATCCAGGCCTGGGTCGGGGGGCAGGGGCCTGGGGTGGGCAGCAGGCCGGCCTGTCCAGGGGCAAGGCCACAGCGGCGGGCGGGAGGGGTGCTGGGCACCCACGGGCGCCGGCTCTTTCCTGCAGAAAAGCGGGTGCTGCTGGTGAAGGAGCTGCAGGGCCTGCCGCTGGCCCAGCGGGGCCACATGCTCCGGGGGATGCCCCTCAGCCTGGCCGAGAAGCGCTGCCTGCGGTCAGTGCCCGCCTGGGCCCAGGGCGTCCGGGGGGCGTGGGGCCCCTGGGCCGGCCCTGACGCCCCGCCTCTGCCGCAGAGAGGAGACGCGGGCCCCAAGGAGGAGCCGCGGCCGCCCCGGGCCCCTGGCCTGCTGCAGCCGCCTCCGCTACGCCTGCGCGCTGGTAGGCCTCCGCCGGGCCCTGGGGCGGGGGCAGCTGGGCCCGGACCCGCCTCAGGACCCCGGTGCTGTCCCCGCAGGCCCTGCACGACCTGGGGCTGGCGCTGCTGGCGGGGCTGCAGGCGCTGGCGCCCTGGCACTATGCCCTGAAGCGCATCGGCGGCCAGTTCGGCTCCAGCGTGCTGTCCTACTTCCTGTTCCTCAAGACCCTGCTGGCCTTCAACGTGCTGCTGCTGCTCCCCCTGCTGGCCTTCCTGGTGGGCGTGCAGACCGCCTTCCCGCCCGCGCCCCGGGGCCCGCGCCCTGCCTTCACCGGCCTGGAGCTCCTCACCGGAGGGGTGAGGGCTAGGGGCATGGGGCCGTGGGCACCCCCTGGTCTCCCCTGGGGAGACCCCCCCGCTGTGCCTCCAGGGGGCCTAGGCAGCTCTCCTGTCCTGATGCCTGTGGGGCCGGGGACGGCCGAGGCCTGTTGTCCACCTCCGAGCGTCCTGCGCCCCCTCTGTCCCCGAGGCCGAGGGAGGTCTGGCCTGGGGAGGGGAGTCCCTGACCCGGCCTGGCCTCCTCCCAGGGCTGCTTCACGGACACTGTCATGTACTACGGCCACTACAGCAATGGCACCCTGAACCAGCCGTGCGCCGGCCCGCCGGATGGTGGCCAGTGCGCCCCCGAGGCAGCCAGCCTGCCCTACAACATGCCCCTGGCCTACCTCTTCACCACAGGCACCGCCTTCTTCATCACCTGCCTCACCCTGGTCTACAGGTAATGGCCTCCGGCACCACTGATCCGTCCAGCCACCCATATACCCACCCATTCATCCACCCATTCGTCTATCCATCCACCCACCCAGCCATTCATCCATCCATCCATCCTCCATCTATCCACCCACCCACCCACCCATCCACCCATCTACCCATCCATCCATCATCCATCCACCCATCCATCCATATTTCCATTCATCCATCCATCATCCATCCTTCCACTCTTCCATCCTTCTACCCATCCCCCCAGCCCCCCTTATACCCACCCATTCATCCATCCCTCTACCCACCCACCACCCACCCGTCCCTCCCTCCCAGAAACACTCACTGTGCTTGGGGCAGGAAGGTAAGCGAGGCGCTTGCTGTCAGGGGAGGAGACAGACCAGGGGAGGGGTGTGTGCCCAGGACTCATGGAGCACTGGGGAGGGGTCAGGCTGGCTTCCAGGGGAGGGGCCCCGGCCTCAGAGGCAGGTTCAGGGAAGGAGTTCGGTTTTGGGAGAGTCAGTGCAAAGGCCCGGAGGTGAGCTGACCTGCTCCAGCCCTGTCCCAGCCGAGCGGCCGGCCCTGTCTGACCCTTCCAGCCAGGAGGCCCTGGTGGGCTCTGTGCTTGCACAGGGCTGGCCCGGAGTGGCCACAGGCCCACACCAGGCGCCAGGTCCTGCTGCCTTCGGGCCTCCTCTTCTCCCCTCACCCTCCCCTTCTCTCCCTCCCCCCCACCCCCCGTCCTCACAGCATGTCCCACTCTTTCGGGGAGAGCTACCGGGTGGGCAGCACCTTGGGGGCCCACGCCATCACCGTTTTCTGCTCCTGGGACCACAAGGTGACTCAGAAATGGGCCTCCCGCCTCCAGCATGACAACATCCGGACCCAGCTGAAGGTGCGTGTCCATCCCTCTCCCCCCCCTGGGGCCACCCCACCTGAGTCCCTGCAACCCCAGCCACTCAGCTCTCCTAGACCTGGATGGGGGGGTCCTCAGTGCCCCCCAGGGCCGAGAGTGGTCAGCAGCCCCCCGGTCCAGTCTCCTGTCCGCGTCCCCCTGGGGCAGCCCGTCTGTTAGCGCCCTGGGGGAGCCATGCCAACAGCAGACTCCGCTCGCCGCGGGTGTGTCTGGGGCTCTGATGGGTCCTGTGCGGCCTCCCTGTGTCCCCCCCCGCGCCCCCCGCGCCCCCCCCCCCCCCCCCCGCAGGGCCAGGGCCGGCTGC